ACAGGATATGACGGCCAAAGAGAGGCTGCTGCTCTGGTCCAAGCAGATAACAGACGGCTACGTCGGCGTTAGATGTGACAATTTTACGACGTCCTGGAGGGATGGGAGGCTCTTTAATGCCATCATACATAAATACAGGTAGAGGCACACTTTTATTTGCATACATGTGAGGTTTTGAAACAATGTCGTAGGAACTCATGAAAAATGATGCACTTCCTAATGTTCATAGAAAGCTCCAAGTGATATGTGCAAAGTTGCACACCGATGCTTTCCGAAACAGTAACCAATAACCCTCACAAAGCATATTTCACAAATATGGCACAGAAGCTATGAGATGATGATGTGTTTTTATTTAATTTTTTTGTCACAGAAATCTTCTATTTTTTACATACCATATGGTTAAGGTGATTCGATAAAGACTACCAGTAGCTTATTTGTGGTGTGGGGCCCCTCTCAAAAGCGCCCCAATCCCCAAAGTGTTATACAATTGCTGCATATGGATCTACCGATTTTACACCTTAAATGTTATCGTAAAAGTTTTCCATTTAATAATAAAATAATTCTTCTGTACAACAGTCATTTGGGATGCGTCATGTGACCTTGGTCTTACAATATCTATCTGCAGTAAGGCGGACGTTTTAACTTTTTAAATTGTCTTTTGTGTGCTCTCTTGTATTGCTTTTGTGTGCATGAGTGCCAGTTCCTTCATTTGTAGACCTCTCACAAAGTTAAAGTTAGAACTTGAACCCTGGGTTTGTTGTACATATTTGTTTCCATAAAACTAACAACAATGTTTATTCAAGTATAACCCACAAAATCCAACTTCGTACCGAGAACAAGGTGTCATGTAAGGCTAATGCATTTTATATTACACAAAAAAGGACAACTAAGCATATTCAATTAACCCGACAGCCATGTTTTTGAAATGTAGAATAAAGACGTAGTGTCTGGAGAAAAAGCATCAAAGAAATGGGAAACATGCAAACTCCACACAGAAAGGCCATGGCCGAGATTGGAACCCAAACGTGTTAACCATTCCTTCACTATGCTGCCACATGTACTAAAAGGAGTCATTTGTAAAATAAATTTATTCCATGGATGAAAGAGGAGAGCATTGATGATCATGTGTGCCTAATTACATCTACAGAAACATACTGTACTTCATTTCTCTTCCAGACTCTTTCATGGTTGTCTATCTTGTGCCTTTTTTCAGACCCGACTTAGTTGACATGAGCCGGGTGTCCACGCAGACCAACCGATCCAATTTAGAGGCCGCGTTCGGTGTGGCTGAACAACTCGGGGTGGCCAGATTACTCGACCCAGAAGGTGTGATCCGCACACGCTGCGTTTGGTGCACTGATTTAATCATCCATTCAATTTCTACTCGAGTTGTCATAATCTGTAGCTCGTTCGACAATTACTCCACTTATTGTGACTCAATTTGGTTTTGCTTCTCGTACTAGATGTCGATGTTCAGTCTCCTGATGAAAAGTCAGTCATCACATACGTCTCGACACTGTACGATGCCTTCCCTCGAGTACCTGAGGGTGGAGAAGGAATTAGCCCCAATGTAAGTTGCTGGCACTACCCAGCGGCGCACACCCTTGTTTCTGCACAGGCTGATGCAGATCTTTATGCTCTTAACAGGACATTGACATCAAATGGGTGGAGTACCAGAACATGATCAAATACCTCAGTCAGTGGATCAAACATAATGTGGCCGTAATGTCCGATAGATCATTCCCCAACAATCCTGCTGAACTTAAGGTATGAAACTACAGTCATGTGTGACTCGCGGCATCTTTATTTTGTATGAAAGCTCTTAGGTTTGATTGACAATTTCTCCACAGGCACTTTACACACAATACCTGCAATTCAAAGAACATGAGATCCCACTGAAGGAAAACGAGAAGACAAAAATCAAAGATTTTTACAAAATGCTTGAGGTATGCACATGTCAAATTATCAGCTTTGGGCACGTCGTTTCAAAAACACATCAGTGTTATTACAATATGTCACATTGATGTGATTTGCCAGGTGTGGATCGAATTTGGACGGATACATTTACCGCCCGGTCATCACCCAAATGATGTGGAAAAAGAGTGGGGCAAATTGATTGTTGCCATGCTGGAAAGAGAAAAGAGCCTGAGGCCTGAGGTCGAAAGGTATGTGACTCTACGAACATGTCAGTCAAATTAATTCTTTATTTATTTATTTATTTATTTTTTTATGCCATGTTCACTTCACTGTGATTATGGCTTGACTACACACATCACCTCTTCTTTTTTACACTAACAGTTGTGCATAGCTGTTATTTCATGTGACATGCAAATGATTTGCTTTTCTGAACATAATTACCAGTAATGACAGGGATTACTGCATTTAAGACTTGGCCTAATTGCTCTTTTATCATCATCATCTTAAAATTGTAACTTTTTCTAAATGGTCTTCAATTTCAGAACACATGCACCATCTAATTACAATAATAATAAATAAATACTATATGAACATTTACATTTATTATTGTGTCAGTGGTTTATACGCAGTGGTGTAGAACGACAATTATTTACACGAAGAACTTTTTTTTAAATGCAGTGCTTGTTAAATTACCTTTCAGAACATACCAAGGAAAACATGATTAGCACAATCCCACAATATTATGGATACACTGGATCACAGTACGAGAGAGAGAGAGAGAGAGAGAGAAAAAGCTGCTGTTTCAGTGTTTGTTTGCAAACTAGAAGCTACTTCTACTGCAACTTATTTTTGAAATTCAACTGACAATTGTTTGTACAAATCGACATATCCACCCCTGCCTTCGTAGTTGTTTTTTAAACACTCCACATTAGCAGCATGAAAGGAAGGGTGTGTTTGGGAAAACTGTCAGAGACAGCTATTACATCCCTTCGGCAGCTTTCATAAAGGAGCACTGTCTCAACCTGCTATGTGATTTTGGTTCCCCTCAGGACAAAATATTATTTCAGGGTGGGTTGGCCTCACACATCACACCCACCCTACCCAACCTTGACGCTATAAATGTGAGCAAGTTGACATCCCTTCCATCTGTTTGGGGAATTTTTAGAGGCTAAGATCCAAACAATGGACCACGAGAGAATAGTAAAATAAAGTGGACAAGGAAGTGGCGGTCGATAGAAAAAATGGCGTTCCTAAGCAGGGTCTCGTCTGCTAGCAACAGTAGTTTCAACAGCTATGGTTCCAGTGACAATAGCTTCACTAGAACTAGATCGGAACCTTTCCTAATGAATAGTTCTTGTGTTCTTAACAACAACATCGTCTATGGATCCAGGTGAGTTACCTGCTCGGTCTCGAATGCATGCTTGAATTTTGTTTTCCTGTACAGAGTAATACATAAAGTCATTGCTTTGTTTTTGTTTGTTTGTTTGTTTTTTTTAAGGCTTGAGACACTGCAGCAGGTTGCCAGCAGGGTTCAGCGAGACTGTGTTCATGGCGAGGACAAGTTGGCGCTGGCAAGACATTCCCTGCAATCTGTAAGTTTTGTAGTGGAATCTATCATTTCTACTTTTTTCTTCATTCATGTGATTATAGAAAACTAAATACATTTCCTAGCATATATCTATTTCTTAAATGCTGGAAGCACAATAAGTAAATAATATTGGCCTAAAAGTGGGGCGATTGCAAGAAATGAAAGCAAAAACAATCCTGATTGATAAACTGATAGATATCATAAGGGGGAAAAAAATCTTCATCGCAAGTGACACATTTTTTCTAGTTTGAGCAAGTAAAGAATATCCTGAATTCAGTGAGCAAGTGAGGGAGTTGGATGTGATACAACTTTGATATTAACCACCGTTGGCGGGAATCAGTCAAAAGCAAATGAAAAACCGCCATTCAGCTATTCGACTTGTTGCTTTTCATGAATGGTAACTGCAAATGCAGTATTTCACCTTTGTTTTATTTCCTCAGGATGTTAAACGCCTCCAATCCGGCATCCAATTCCTAAATGAAGCCGAGATCGCCAGCTACCTTTTGGAGTGCGAGAGCATCCTGAGACAACAAGTCGTGGATATCCAAGTTCTTCTCGATGGGAAATTTCCATTCACGGATCAACTAGTTCGAAGGTAAAAATCAAATTTATGACTTCCATCTTAAGCGTACAACAATGCTGGACAAATATTGACATCACCCCATGTTGCAACCCAGGGTATCGAACCTACGAGATGATCTTCTATCCCTGAGAGCTCAGTATGCCTCTTTGTACAGCAAAGGCCGCACCTTAACCACAGAGCAGACCAAAAGGATGATCTCAGGCATTACACAGAGCCTGAATTCTGGTTTTTCCCAGAACATCAGCCTAATGCCAGCCGAGCGAGGGTTCGATACCTCCACGTTCACCTCGAGCCTTACGTCGTCCTTGACCCCTGGGCTGCAGTCTGCTTCAGAGCAAACCTACATGAGCAGTGCTGGCAGTATGGAGTCGGGCGACCTCGGGCAAATGACACACGTGCACATCCCCAAGCCCTTAATGAAATCCTCACTGGTCGACCCCAGCTTGACGGAAGAAGAGGTGAACATGAAATACATCGATGACCTGTTGAACTGGGTGGAGGACATGCAGGTGAGCCATCGAGGCTTTGCGCTCGTCTCTCGTGCATTTCATCAAGGTATAAAAACTAAGAAACTGAATGTGTTTGCGTGTATATTTTATTTCAGTTGCAGTTGGATCGCTCGGAGTGGGGATCTGACATGCCAAGCGTGGCCGCGCATATCGATAACCACAAAGCCGTACACAGAGCTATCGAAGAATTTCAAATGAGTCTGAAAGAGGCCAAACTGAGTGAGGTAGAGCAATCCCGCGTGACGAATGAGCAACAGGTTTCATGTCAGAAAAGTAATTCATTTTATTCCCCACAGAGTCAGATGAATCTACCCTTGAAACTCACCTACTCTGAAAAATTAAGCAGTCTCGAGAAGCAATATGACAAACTAGTGGTAAGCCACATCGTGAGAGCAGTCGGAATCTTTTCAAGCTTCACTTCCTCTCCAATTTGAATTTCTGATGTGCGTGCTTGTCAGAGGTGTTCAAAGGAGCGACAAAGCCACCTCGAGAGCCTGCACGACTTTGTGTCGCAGGCAACACGTGAGCTCATCTGGCTCAATGAGAAGGAGGAAGAGGAGGTCGCGTTTGACTGGAGCGATCGCAACAGCAACGTATCCAAGAAAAGAGACTACCATGCTGTGAGTTTGACTCATTTCGACACCCATACACTTAAATGCATCCCGGCGAATTCATGTTAGTGTGTGCAGGGAATGCAGTGACAGGTCCTTTGTTATTGCTCTAAGTCATAAATCCTTTAATGTGTCCAAACAGGATCTGATGAAGGAGCTTGATGAAAAGGACGAAGTGATCAAGTCTGTGCAAGACTTCGCAGAGCGTCTTCTTTTTAAGAGTCACCCAGCTAGGTTATCTATTGAAGTAAGCCAAGCTTTTATGAGCGCATGATTGTCTCCACCCTGCGTGCTATTTTTAAAATTCAATGGAGACTTTTCATGCTTGGATATTTTTGTCTGATTTCTTTAATACGGCCGCTTTCAGGCATACAAAGCTGCCATGCAAACGCAATGGAGTTGGATCCTGCAGTTGTGCTCGTGTGTGGAACAGCATCTAAAGGAGAACGCTATTTATTTTGAGGTGCGTCGTCCGTTCAAGTCACGACATCCGCTTCATGTGGCTGCCGCTCACCGCTCTTTTGCGATGCCCTTTGTGCAGTTTTTCAGCGATGCCAAAGAATCCATGGACTTCCTGAGGAATTTGCAAGACGCCATTCAGAGAAAGTACAGCTGCGACCGGAACAGCAGCTTGCACAGACTGGAGGATCTCATTCAGGAATCCATGGTAAACGTGCATGAGCATGCAAGGCATGCATGACCTACAGAGACACTTTTAAAAGCCCAAAGCGACAACATTGCCTGGCGGTTGTATCTTTTTAGGAAGAGAAAGAGCAGCTTCTTCAATACCGCAACACTGTAGCCGGGCTGATGGGTCGGGCCAAGAACATTGTGCAACTCAAGCCCAGGAACCCTGACAGCACTCTTCGATCTTCCATCCCCGTCAAAGCCATCTGTGATTATCGACAGATTGAGGTACAAAATCTTTCACACCAATCTCATCAGTCAATGGTCTAAAAATGCGTTACCATAAATGAAGAACTCCCCGATTGTTTAATTAGCGATTTTACCAATGCTGTTGCCCACCAGGTCTCACCGTCAAAATGTAATTTTGTGTCAATTTGTTTCAGATAACCATTTATAAAGATGATGAGTGCGTGCTAGCCAACAACGCTCATCGGGCCAAGTGGAAAGTCATCAACCCTGCAGGCAATGAGGCCATGGTGCCTTCTGTCTGTTTCACCGTGCCCCCGCCCAACAAAGAGGCTGTGGATATGGCTTTAAAGTAAGATGCTTCCCGACGTTGTTGCGTATGACGTGTTGATATGAGCGTAACCTGTTATTTTCTTCCAGAACGGAAGAGTTATACCAGAATGTCCTTTCACTTTGGCATCGCTCCCACATCAACATGAAGAGCGTGGTGTCTTGGCATTGTCTCATGACCGATATACGCGCCGTCCGTCACTGGAATGTAGCCACTGTATGTTCTTTAGGAGCTTATCATCTCACGTGTCAGATGAAATTGTTCACGTGTTTTCTTTCCCTGTTGCAGTTTAAAACAATGCTACCAGGTGAGCATCAGCAAGTTTTGAGCAACCTTCAGTCTCATTTTGATGAGTTCCTGGAAGACTGTGAAGAATCGGAGGTGTTCACCGTGGCGGACTGTGCCCAGCTGGAGAGAGACGTTGCAGGCTGCAAAGAATACTACCAAGAACTCCTCAAATCCGCAGAGAGAGGCAAGGCTTGCGCAGCAGGAAATTTCTGGAATTTCAAAGCTCAACTCTTGAACATTGTGTTACAAATGAGTTATGTCGGTTTGTTTTTGTTGAACAGAGGAACATGAGGAGTCTTTGTACAATCATTACATCTCGGAAATACGCAACTTGAGGATGCATCTGGAGGCCCGCGAAGAGCAACTGATCCGGCAAATCCGCACACCTGTGGACAGAGACGACGTGTATCCGAGTCTGCAGCGCATCACTGATCAGGAAGTCCGTGTCTGATTTGTTGTGGAACATTTAATTGTTATTTGTTTGTAATCATGATTTTTCCCTATGCAGAAGAAGATGGAAGAGCTGAATAAATGTAAGGAAGACCTGGATAACTTGAAGGAGAAGTGTGAGGTGTTCCTCCGACAAGCTGTTGGCTTTCCATCGGCACCGACTCTCTCCTCCGAACTCAGCATCGTGGTTCAGAGCATGAGCGACGTGCACTCCATGTCTTCTATTTATATGGACAAGTGAGTGTGAATTCATCATCACGCAACACACAGTTAAGCTTTGGGGCATTCAGACATAAATGTTCATGTCGTATTTCACGTGTGGCAGATTGAAGACTGTGAGTTTGGTGGTGAAGCATAGCCAGAGTGCAGAGGCGTTGGTGAAGGCCTACGAATCCAAACTCTATGAGGAAGATGCGATCAACTCTGACCTTCACTCGATTGAAACAGTCATTTCCATACTCAAGGTGGTGCATATTTTTGACCTAGACAACATAAGGATGTTGTTGCCCATTTTGAGTAAATATTCTTCCCTCTCATTGTAGCAATGGCGGACAGAGATTGATGAAAAGCAGGAAGTGTTCCACAATATGGAGGATGAACTGCACAAAGCCCGACTCATCAGTGATCGCATGTTTAAGGCCCATAACGAGCGTGACTTTGACCTGGACTGGCACAAGGAGAAAGCCGATCAACTGAATGAGAGATGGCGCAACATTCATTCCCAAATAGATAACAGGTAAAAATGTAGTTTGGAAACGACAGTTTAGAGCTAAAGGGCATCTAAATCACTGAATTGATCAAATGATGCTCCTGAGTTGTTAATGCAGTCTCAAATAGTTTGCAGACTGAAGAAGATAAACATGGCATGGCTTCTTCTATGACACAACTCCATTTCAATACAATGCTAGCCTGGAAACCGGAGTTCATACATTTCAATGGAAAAAAATGGACATCCCCACATTCTCTTTTCATGGATTGCACATTAAGATTTTCAATGTTTTTTTTCAGGCTGAGGGATCTGGATGGTAACAGCAAATGCCTGAAGCTTTACAAAGACTCCTACAGTAGTCTTGATGAATGGGTTCAAGAAGTTGAGGAAGAACAGATCAAGGCCCAAGAAAATAAACCAGAAGATAGCAAGGCTCTCGCTGAACTGTTGAACAAACAGAAGGTAGGATAATGGCTAACTTAACTGCCTACATTTTCTATACAGTGCGTGCGTGTGTGTATGTGTATTTATATATATATATATATAAAATATGTGTGTATGTATATGTTTTATTTTTCAGGTTCTTGTTGCTGAAATTGAACAAAAGCAGAACCAGATTGATGAATGTCAGAAGTACTCCGAACAGTGCTCATCTGCCATAAAGGTAATTCATTATATCTAAACTCATCGCTTCACCATTTCCTCTCACCGCACAATGTTTTTTTTCTGACATGTCAAGAAAGGATAGAATTTTGTGGCCTCACCCGAAACCTCTGTTTAGGATTATGAGCTCCAGCTGATGACCTTCAGAGCAATGGTTGATTCCCAACACAAATCTCCCCTCAAGAAACGCAAGATGCAAAGCTCTTCAGATGCCATCCAGCAGGAGGTAATCTCTTTTTTTAAAAACAAATTTAAACACATGCAGTATCTTTCTGTCTCATCAATATTTTGTGTATATATATATTTTTAACCAGTTTATGGATCTTCGCACCCGCTACACGGCTCTTGTGACCCTCATGACACAGTATGTGAAGTTTGCAAGTGAAACCCTGAAGAGAGCAGAAGACGAGGAGGTGAGACTGTCACTTTGGTTTTTTTTTTCATACATTACAGAAGAGGAGACGTTTAGGCTGATGTGAATGCTATGAAGCCCTTCTCATATTTGCATGCGCTTATGGTGTCTCATTACCCTATTCAAACTGTTCTCGTTAAAAATATTTTCTCCCTTAGCTCTTTCTTCAATGGTTTACCTGGTTGTTGGCTTATACAAAGGCTTTCATGTTACTATGTGTTAGTAACATGGTGATGCATAGTGGTCATGCTGGTAACTGCCTTTTTTGGAAGGAGCTGGAGTTTTAAGGATCTTCACTTTTGACCTTATGGGAGAGTAAAAGCGCTTCAGAGAGTTGTTACATGAGTAAATCATGGTGATATCTGTGGTGAATTATTAGAAATTATTGGTTGGGTGATGATGGAATTCCAGGTTATTGCATGAGCTTGCTTCCGCACTCTGGTAAAATGGGAGAAGGTAATCAGCATCATATGTATCATGATGATAACTGATTGTTTTGCATTTTAGAACAAAATGGCTTTTGAAAGAGCAGAGAATACAAAAAGGACAGAGAGCATGGAACTCCAAAAAGCTGCAGGGGATATAAAACTTAGCCAACTTAATCTTCTGGTGCGTGAACAAGAGACCTTGCTGGTTGAAAGACAAGCACACTTGCAAAGGATGGAAGGAGAACTAAAAACACAACAGCGGATGAATGACGATCTGACGTTTCAGAAATCGCAGCTTGAGCATGATGTTCGTGAATGTCAGGCCAAATTGGAGAGAGTAATGGCTGACAAAGCTGCTAGTGAGCAAGAACTAAGTCATTCTAAACTGTTAGTTGAGCAGGCAGAGGCCAGGTGGTCCAATGCTCAAAGGAAACTGGAGGACCTTGTCAATGAAAACCAAGTTCTCATGAGCCAGAGCCCCACATTTCAGAGAAAAATAATAGTGGAGGAAATTAAAAAGGAAAATGTTCAAAGTGAAGTCCAAGCTCAGCTGTTTTTACCATTAGACAGTTATTCCAGCGAGTCCCAATCAAATATAGTTGTAGAATATCAAAGATTAAAAGAAGATTTACAGCAGAAATATGATGAGTTAGTCTTGGTCCAGAAACGAGCAGAAATGTCTGAAGAAAAAGCTCAGAGTTATAAGAAGCTATTGGATGACAGAGATAACCGACTCAAGAAGCTTCAACTGGACATGGAAGCAGAGAGGTGCAGCCTCAGACAGAAATTAGAAGATCTTCACCAGGAGACACTAACCTTGCAGAGAACCATCTCTGAACTGCAAGAGGAAGTCAGGTCTCTTCACAGGGCAAAATCCTCACTGGAGCAAAATGCTCTCTTCCAAAATACCGAAGTTGAAGGTCTCAAAGAGCAGCTGAAGATTACTCAAGGAGAAATTCACAGAAGGAGCTCCGTGGATCAGGATAACATTCAAAAGATTAGCAGTTTAGAGGAAGACATTGCTTCTAAGCAGGTGGTAATAAATCAACTGAAGTTTAAATGTACTGAGCTTAGAAGAGAAAACATGTCATCCGAAAGTGATCTGAGAGCTCTTCAGCTCCATACTGAGTCTTTGGAAAAAGACCGATCCCATTTAGAGCAAAAGATGAAGTCTCTGAAAAGTGAAATTCAGAGCTGGAAAGAGCAGCTTCAAGAGGCCAAAGAGGAAGTTGCAGTAATGAAGAGATCTGAGCAGGAGTGTCTGTTCAAATGTAAAAGTCTTGAGGCAGGAATTCAGAATTGTGAATTTGTGGCTTCACAGTTGCAGAAGAAAGCAGATGAGTCAAAGCAGGTAAATGCTGACTTGGAACATACTTTGAAGAATACAAGGGAGAAACACGACCAAGCGCTGATCGAAGTAGACAGAAAAGATCAACAAATTGAAATTCTTAAGTCTCAGGTTGAAGCCGCTCAATCGCAGGTCCGAATTATTGAGGCTGAGCTCAATGCGAAATCCCAGAACTCCCATGAGCTTCAAGTAAAACTGCAGGACCATAATGAGCATGTGAAGACCTTAAATGAACAAAACTGCACGTTCAGCTGCAATGTCGTAAACTACCAGAGAGAAATAACAGCGCTGAAATCTGATCTTAAGTCTGCGTTAGCTGCGAAGGAGCTAGCGGAGCAGAAGGTCCACATGCAAAGTGCTGAGATTGACGATTTGCACACAATGTTGAAAAACAAAAATGCAGAAATTCAGAAGGGATCTTCTGTGATAAACAAACATATCAGCAAAGTGAAAGCATTGGAAGATGAGCTTTGTAAATATGAGCATATTGTCAAGGGGCCAGCAAAGAGCTCAGACAAAATGACGGGGAATTTAAAGCAGGAGATACTTGCTCTTCAGATGGAGAAAAAAGCTGCAGAGAAAAATGTCGAAAACTTGAATGCGAAAGTTTCAGAGTTGAGCTCATCTCTGCAGAAAGTAAAAGAGGAATTAACTAAAGAGAGCAGAGAAAGAAAAAACAAAGAATCTATAATAATGCAGCTTGAACGTGAGCTTCAGAGAAATAAAACATCGGCAGACGTAAAGTCTAACTCAGATGACTCCCAATCAAATCTCCAACATGAAAATGTGGTCCTTAGGAGAGAGAAAAATGAGACCCTAGAGAAAAGTATCTCATTGGAATCGGAAATCATACTGTTGAAGGAAAAGCTACAGCGTAACAACGCCGAAGCTGATAGAATGCAAAAAGAAAATTCTCTGCTCAGGGTGAGGACGCAGCTGATGGAGGAACAAGTTGGGAAGTGCAAGAGAATGCTCGAGGAATTGAAAACTAAGCTGGAACTTCAGAGGCAAGGCTATGAAAGGCATCTGATGTTAGTGCAGAAGGAAATGGAAAAGAAAGTGATGTTAGCGCAGTCGGAAATAACAAGTGAGAGAGATGTGTCACAAAAGCGTTCGCATGGTGCAGAATTAGAAGAGATGCTCACAGAGTATCTCAAAGAAGAGATTCAAGTAGTGAAATCGGCCCCACGAAATACATCGGAATCAAAGCAGCCAGTGGAGAGCAGAATGGACATATTGGAGCAAGAAAAAAATGTGCGAGACCAAGATTTATTAAAGGCAAGATTGCAAACTGCTCAACTTGAAGAGGACAGACTCAAACTATACTCAAGGGTGAATGCTTCACAAAGCAACGATCATTCAATACAGTTCCGAAGAGATGTCACTTGTAAAGTGACGCCAAAGGAAGCAAGCTCTCATCCTGTACAAATCGAGTCAAACACCAAAGAGATTCCAACTCGTCAGGGGGTTACAGCGGAGAAGGAAAACCAGAGGTTTTGGAAACAGGACGTCATCGAAGGCGGCCATCAATATATGAAAAGCTCAGAGACTGTTAACCTGAAGACAGCTCTTCATAAAGATGAGCCACAAAGCAGCAAGGAGGAGATTCTACAAATGAAAAGCTCATCAGAGGTATGGGATGAAGTCTTTGTGTCACACAGACACCAGTCAATTCATCTCTAAAATATTTTATTCTTTCGTAGTCATTTCTAACCAGAGGGTGATCTCATTTCCAATCCACAGATGACAAGATTGCAGAAAGAAGACATTCTTAAAGAGTTCGAACCTGATGAAACGAAAGTCATTCCGAGTGAGACGACTTTGACGAGTTCAATTTCTCAAAATCTCACATTCCCAGAACAAGACTATATGACTGAATTGTATCACATTTACTCAGGTCAAAGTTTGGTCCCGAAAACGCAGGGATACATGACCCCATGTGAACCCACAGAGTCCCAGAGAGAAAAACACAGCATCCTTACGACAAGAACTTATTATCTGAAAGAATCTCCTGAAGCAAGAGTGAAAAGTGATCCAGAAAGTAGGGACAGTCTTAACTTGTGGAATCCAACCTCACTCAATCTCACTGACCTCCAAAAAAGCATGACTATTCAAATCCTAATCAAATATAAGCTCTTGGATGAAGAGATTTTCCATAAATTAGAAATGGGGCTGACCACAATCGACAAAGTGCAAGCATCACTTGCGCCCTATGTCGGCAAACCAACTGCCATTGCTGGAGTTTATGTAGAGTCGAGTAAGAAGAAGGCTTCTTTCTTAGAGGCGGCTGAGAAGGGTTTCTTGGCAAAGATGCACGCTGTGGAGTTTCTGCAAACTCAGGCAGCGACAGGAAGCCTCACTGATCTGACCACTGGCCAGATATACTCCCTGAGTGAGGCTCTTGAGAGAGGAATTTTTGATTCAAGCTTAAAAGATAAACTGACAGAGGCTGAGAAAGCTTTCTATGGCTATATGCACGCTGGCAAAAGGCTGTCTGTGTTCCAGGCGATGGAGGAGAGTATTCTTGAGCGATACAAAGGCAAGAAGATCCTTGAAGTACAGATAGCCACCGGTGGAGTGATTAACCCAGAGGGTGGTTTCAGAATGCCGCCTAGTGTTGCTATTGATCACGGCTTTCTAAACAAGGAGACTCTTCAAATTCTGTATGATCCTGTTCGCAATCCCAAAGGTTTTCACAACCCTTATACTGGACAGAAAGCATACTACTGCGAAATACTCAAAGCGTGTCTATATGACATTGACGGTGGTGTGCTTCTCCTTCCAATTGGGGACAGGCATCTTACCAATAGCTCTCCCACAAGTTCTCACCGGGTGTCTGTTGTCAGCAGCAGTCGTGGCACTGAGATGTCTGCCCATGAAGCCTTCAAGAAGAAACACATTGACAAGCAGACATATCTCTTTCTGTCAAAGCAGGAAAGCGAATGGCATGAGACGTCTGTAGAGAATGGCAGTGGAGGTTTGCGTCACATCCTCAACGATGTCAAAAATGGCAGAAAGCTTTGTCTAGAGTCTGCTGTGAGTCAGAGGTTTCTTGAAGCCTCAGAGCTAGAACAGTACAGGAATGGCCTTCTTAGTATCTACGAGATTGCTGACATCATATTTTCAAGAATGGTTGTTGTGGAGGATGTAAACAGCCCCATTGCTGGTCTTTGGGACCTTGCACAGAAGAAGAGGTTGTCTATCTTTCAGGGATTTCAACAGGGCTTTACTGACGGGACGACTGCCTTAAGATTGCTGGAGGCCCAGGCCTGCACCGGAGGCATTTGTGACCCCTTCTCCGGGGAGAAACTTACAGTCAATGATGCATTCAGTGAAGGTCTTTTAAATGAGAAGTTCGTTCAGAAACTACAGCAATTTGAGCAGGTGTTCAATGGCATCACTCACCCTAAGACTGCAAAGTCTGTCTCGATCACTCAGGCAATCCAGGAAAATCTTTTGCCAAAAGATGTCGGCACTCGCTGTATAGAGTTTCAGCTCCTGACCGGTGGGTTGATAAACCCTGACACTCACGACCGAGTCTCGCTGGAGGAAGTCCTTCAGAGGGGCCTTGTTGACAAAGCCACAGCCTCAGCCGTCAAAGACGAGAAGTCCCACATCAAAAATATCACTTGTCCAAAGACCAAGAGACGTCTCACATTCAAAGAAGCGCTCAACAGAAGTGTTTATGACTGCCACACAGGTTTAAGATTACTGGAGGCCGATAAAGATCAAGGTTTTGGAGTGTTATCATCTTTGCATCACAGAAAGTTGAAATAAAAACTTGGGGGCATTCTTGTTAAAAAGTGAATACTGGAAATCTGATTTATTTTGGTTCAGTGTGTGTAGCTATATTATTTTTGTATGCTTGAATAACATTTACTTCAACATGCTGTGCTTGCCTTCACTTTATGTTGTGATTGCTTTATTGACAAAAGTTGGAACTTTTTTTTTTCCCCAATAGAGGCCTGGTTTGGGTCTGGTCTTCAATTCTCAGTTAGTGATTGAGGAAACTGATATTTAACAGTTTTGCTTTTTTTTTAGATATTCTCATACCCCCACCTGTTCTGATTCCAGAGATCGGTGGATGAAGAGAAGCGAGAGCATGGTGATAAAGTTAGCAAACTATTAGCTTGGATGTCTAATGTGAAACAGAAATCGAGCAATGAGGGAAACACTTTGAAAGATAGTAATGCCAACACAGATGCTTCAAATAACTCCCAGGTAAAAATATGTATTTGCTTTGTTGTTGTTGTCGTGACTTGATGAAAACAATATTTTGCTTTGAGGATTTTTGTTCGTATCCCATAAGATGTTTTCTGTCACGTGTGATTTTTAATAAAAGAGCATCTTTCTGATCTACTTATTCAATGTATTTTACACTATAAAAGGATATGTTGTTAATCACATCAAGTGCTCAGTCGGATACAACTTCCCCTTACTGTTGCACAAGCACCCACGTTTCAGACCAGACCGACTTGAAATGAACTAATTCACTGACTTTACAGACACTATTTAATCCCCTTTGTAAAATCAAGTAATTACCTTCAAAATTTCATTCTGTAATACCAATAACCAATTTGAATGGCTTTAAGACTAATGCCAGTGTCTTCATACTTTACATATTACAATGCAGTTCTATGGTTAGGCATAATTTTATTCATACTGTTAGTTATGATGATAGAAAACAACAATTAGTCACAAAGCATTGGCCGCGTTTGCATTCCGTCGAAAAATAACTCATCGTATATTTCAGTCAAGGCACACAAATGAGCAGATATTTTGCTCTATTTTTATTCAAAAGATCACACAATTGCAGATGTAATTGTTAGTTATTCTTTAAATTTTAAGTAGCACATCATATTCTCTAAAATGAATTACACTTTTCATGTTTCAAAGGCTTTACTATTACATTGTACCGTCATTGTGTTGTATTCATTATTTTACCCAAATGTTCATATTATACTTTTCACCACAATAAATGATGGCTATGCACTGACTGGCCAAAATATTAAGTACACAATATATTGGGATCTTAAAAAAACATTGATGTTAAAGATGCTGCCTGGTACAATAATAAGTAACAACAATAACTTTAGATTGACAGTGGGGTATTAGATTAACAATATAGTAATACAGTATGTATGTGTGTATATATGTATGTGTATAATATATACTGTATATAATTTTAATCCTAGTAACAGCATTTATTCCTTGTGTTAGATATCATTAGCTTGTGCAAGTGTACCTAATGTTATGGCCTGTTAGTGAATTGCTTACATGATTTGTACTGTATTGATAAAACTATTGACAAATGATTGTTTGATGCTGTAGGTCTCCGTAGAGGAAATGGTTACTAAGAAAGAGCAGATTTCAGAAGCGATGAGGGCCACAGAAATGATGCTGAACAAACACAGTGAAAAGTAAGTCTGGCAGTTACATAATAGAGACATCTACAACACAGTATATGTGCATTATCTGAACTTCAAGCATCATTTTTTGACTTACAGGATGTCAGAAGAGGAGAGAGAAAAAGTCCAGGAGCAGTTGAAGGACCTCAGCCAGGCTTACAGTGACATTTCTCAGCATTGTTCTGATCAGCCCACACATGGAGATGAGGTTGGAAGTTTTGCTTTTATTGAATGAAATGCTTTTGTATTTTGGAGTGGCCTCAAAAGAAGTGCTGTTCGATGGTTCATTGCATGTTAATCCTTTCTCCTTCTTCTTCTTTGTAGCAGTTGTTTGCTGTTTGTACTGATACCTTTCTTATTACTGTGCTACATCATTCAGGACTGTTTTCAATTGAAAAAAACGGAATTATATTTCCAACCAGATCATCTGAATATGCTGTAAACATGCTTAGCCAATTTTTGCTTCACATGCTGATATTCGACTGGCTGATAGAGTTGATTCATCAAACGGTTCAATGTGTGATGTGACTAACAAACACCTTCTGCATCAAGTCAAAGCATGGTTGCTTCCACTATAAGCTGACAGGCTGACACTCTCTTGCTGCATCGCTGATGCAGTGTTGAACTCATGCACGTGATTTTTAACATGTTGGTCAACTGGTGAGTACATATTTGCCTTGATTTTGAATACATAATGTTCCGTAATTATCAGTTCAACAATAATGGTATTCTTTTTTTTTCATAGGATGTGAAATCCACCATTAGAATTGACTCTGTTTGGACCCAGGCAATGGACGGCCTGAATAATGACATTATTGGCCTCCTCCTTCCGACCCCCGACCTCTCTCAGTCATGGCCTCATCTGTCCTGGGATGATATTCACGAACAAGATGCTCCTCACAAATCAATTGGGAATCATATTCAGGAGTTAAACAGGGAGAACAAGTGCATAAAGGATTCAGATGTGACCTCTGTGTCCATCGGTGACATCGTAGCGGCAGCGAGGGACGCATCCACGTTGGATGACATTGTCGTGAAGATGATAGAGGTCAAGCAAGTCAGTGATGGACTGAACGTATCCTACTCAGGAGATACAGTGAGCCTTAAGACGGCATTTCAAGAAGGCTTGATTCCCGCTTCTGTCTACATTAACATTCTTCAAAGGCATAAGACCTGCCAGGAAATGATGCATGACCATTCTACTGCAAATGAGTCGCATTTAGAAGCGATGCACATCAATAGGCTCATATGGGAGTGCATAAGTGGGAATAAATTGCACACACCTGAAAGAGCTGTTCACACTATAACATTTGTCCATGATGGAAACAGAATATTAACGCTGAATCCCACTGAGGTTAATGTTGCTGGCCCAACAGAAAAGCAGGATTCAAGTGTAACAGAAGGAGTTAATTCATCCTCTGGCAATTTACACCATGGGGACGGACTAATGGTGGATGCAGAGGTTCAGTGTGATTTGATGAGTTGTAGCAGTATGCTCATCGTACTTGGGAACAGTCATCAGTTCATAGGCCTCGTGTTGCCTCGGCCGAATGAATCCCAATTTACTGCCTCTTCGTCAGAGTACTATGAGCATCGCATCACTGATGTGCGTGGCAGCAGGCTGCTCAGCTGTGGAGAGAAATTAACAGCTTTTTACATTCCAGAAGATTCTAAGCTCGTGGATATCAATTGTGCCATACAAAACGGTTACATTGACGTTTACACGGCAGACATCTTAAAGTCCATCGAAATCCCCGTTGAGTTTCTTGATCTTGATCAACTTAATGAGAAGTTTTCATCCTGGCTGATGTATAGAAAACTCAGAGTAGATGGATTGAGCCACGCTGGAGATGTGTTTACTCCTACAGAGACAAAGGAGCTCTTTATATCCTTCCTGATGATAAACAGTTACATTGATCGGAAGTCGCAACAACGGGTTTTAATACTCGACAAGCAGTTAATGAAAATAATCCATTTTTTTCTTGAAGATTCTGTATTTGATGACACCGCCCAACACAATGTGGTGCCTTTGACTGTCAATGCTGAAGATATTTCAGAGCAGATGGACTTCAAGGTGCCATTCATAAGTGAGAAAGCAGAGGAGATGGTGGTTAACACAAAGAATTACAAAATGAGTCCTCATCATTCTGTACCCCAATTCGATGGGGTACTTGAGAACAACATGTATGCAAATGATGATCTAAAAATTGATTATGTGGATGGAATCACAGAAGCTGTTGTGTTCTCCCAAGGCACAACAGACTACAAAACACTTGACGCTAGTTTATACATTGCGGATAGTGATGATTCACAATTTGAAGAAAATAGTATTTTCGATGAAGAAAAGGGCATTTTGAATGACACACCTGTCTCTGAGCTGCTGGGAACAACTGAAGAGACCGTTTTGGACCTGTTTGCAAACCAAGATATAAAAGAGGAAAACACCATGTTGCCTAGTCCATCCCTCTTTGATATAGACACTGGAATATCAGAAGGAAAGTGCAACCAGCCTAACCCAGATGACAATCTTGAGTCTATAAATGTGAACAAAGCCAAAGAAACACACAATTCATCCAAGAGGAAGTCTTCTCCCCTGATAGAGGATGATAATCAAGTTTTAGTATTAGATGATGAGGCAGGAGGAAATGTAACAGAGATAAGTGATCTTCATCATTCCCTTTCCTTACTTTGCGGTCATGAGCCTCTGGCGATGTCACCCATCTTTTGGGAGGAGATTTCTCCCGAATGGGTCCTTCAATTGGAAGAATCAGCTTCACTCTCCGATGTCACCAACTCACTGAATGGAGTCAATAACTTGCTGGCTGACAAGCAGGATGAGGACTGTGAAACGGCTGCGTCATCCGGCCCACTCATTCCATGCAGCCGTATCGCTCAAGAAAGTCACAGCGAGTCATCTACTGGTGCTAATCTATGTGACAAAGTTAACTCAATGCTCAGTGAGAATGAGTTCTATAAAGCTGGAAATGTGACAAAATGTGAATTGGGAAAATCTGCACTTTGGGTTGCCGCTGTTGTCGGAGCTGAGATAGGTTCTTCATCACCTGGAGATGCAGGCAATGGTTTAGCTGTACAAGGCGATCCTGTCAAAAAAGATGGGGACAGACTCCGGCAGGTCTTTCTTCCTTCAGAGAGTGGTTATGCTCTTGAACCCGAACCCGGCAACTCTGATCTCCTCAGTGAAAGAGTTTCGCAACAGTTCAATGCATCATCTGTTCGATCTGTTGTATGTGATACATGTACACCCAAAAATCATTATAATGATGCAAGGTGTAATATAGAGGTTGAATGTTGTTTGCCAGCGTCGGCCAGTGATCATCTGGAACAAACACGGACTGGTTTGAGGTGCAGTGCAGTACACCCAGAAGAAAGCCAGCTAATCAAAACAACCGATTCTCAGGAGAACTATCAGTCATCATGTGAGGAGTGGGTGGGTGAAACAAGTCAACAGAATATAAATATGGTTCAATCATTTTCAAGCCCACCCCCTTCACCAGACTCCACCCAAAAAAATGTGATTGGAGTGAAACACAAAGGCCATATACTTTCAGATCAAAATGTGCTGGATGTAGACAGAAATCCTCAAGTAGTGACCAATATTTTGTCACTAAGCAATGCACTGATTTCAAACTCTGAAAAACCTTTTGTCAATCACCACGAGGACGTGATGAATAAAACTTGTAACGGAAATGATTGTGAAAGCGCCACCAATACAAGTCAGTCTGATACCCCAGCTACAAATACTGAAGAGGACTTGGGCATTCAAATTAAGTCATATATCCAAAGTAGCGATGAAGACAATGTTGATGCTACAATTGGAAACGTTGGAGTGGAGTCTGACAAGCTAACTAGAAGAGATGAAGAGTCGTTTGATGCCCGAACCGGAAATGTTCAAGAGGAGTCTTATATCCCAAGCAGATATGAAGAGAATGTTTGTGCCCCTTACGGAAATGTTGAAATGGAATCTAACAACCTAACGAGAAGTGATGAAGTGAGGTGTGATGTGCCACCTCTAAAAGATGAAGAGTACTCTTTTTCTCAAAATAAAGAGTACCCTAGTGTGCCAGCTGGAGATGATGAAGAATGGTCTTGGCACCCGCCTAAAAAACAGGACACTGATGCTCCAACAGTGGAATATGAAGAAAACATTGATGCGCAAACAAAAAAATATAAAGATGTGTCTATGGGTCTGCCTGGAAAAGATGAAAACGAGACTGTTGACTCGCTTATAAAACATGACGATGGATTTGATACTGTAACTGGAAACACTGTAAATGAGTGCAATACCTTTACTAAAATCGTTGGAAAAGGTTTTGTTGCCCCAGTAACAAAACTTGGAGAGGGGTCTCATGACTCAACTGGAAAGGTTGAAGAGGAGATTGAAATACCAACCACAAAAGATAAAAAATATTCTGATGCTCCACCAGTCAAAGATGAAGAGAGGTCTGATGGCTTGGATAAAAAAGTGAAGCAAGAATTTAACACTTTAGTTGGGGAAAATGGACACATTTTGAACAAAACCGGACAACACCAAGATGGAAAAGCTCATAAAATGCAGCCTTGTTTTCTGACTGTAAAACATGAAGTAAGTGAAAATGATCATGTACCAACCAGAAAAGAGGTTGGAGAATCAAAGTCCACAACTGAGAGAAATGAAGAGTCGTCTAATTCTAAAACAGAAAAAGATGACGAGAAGTTCACTATTCTAGCTATAAGATTTGAAGAAGACCTCAGTACCCAGCAACAAAAAGATGAACAGGGTTCTGATGTCTCACTAATGAAAGATAAAAATGGGTCAAATGACCCAACTAGAAGATTTCCCAGACACGACCCATGTGGAAAAAATGAAGGCAACTGTTTTCATACAATTAGGAAACATGCAGAGGTGTCTGATTCTCCAACGACAAGAGATGAAGATTGGTCCCAGGTCTCACTTATCAAAAATGAATGTGGTTCTTGTACTCCACCTGTAAAAGATGAAGAGTGGTCTTTTGCCCCACTTCTGAAAGAGGAAGAGGGATCTGATGCCTTGCTCATAAAAGATCAAGAAGGATGTAATGACACAATTGGAAAGACCAACTCTGATCACCGAACTAGAAGCGATAAAGAATACTGTGATGGTTCATCTCCGGATGAAACAGATGAGATCGAAGAGTTTGATGCTCTACCTGTGAACTATAGAAATGAGTCTGCCTCAATAATAAAAGATGAAGAGGGATCTAATTGCACAACTGTAAAGGTTAAAGAATCTGATAGCCTAACTAAAAAAGGTATAGCAGATTTGCACACACAAACTGGAAAGGCAGAAGAGGATTGTAATGCTCCAACTGGAAACAGTCAGTCATCTCCATCAACTAGAAGAGTTAGAGACAACTCTGATGCTCCATCAGCAAAAGATGAAAAGTGGTCTGATGCCTCAATAATGAAAAATGAAGTTTCTGATACAATGACTGAGAACATTGATACCCCGATTAGCAGAGATAAAAAAGATTCTGATGCCCCATATGGAAAGCATGAAGAGAACAGTGTTGCTCCGACAAGAAAATATGAAAACGTGTCTGATGCCTTACTGTCAAAAGATAAACAGAGGTCTGATGACTCAGGTGTAAATGTTGAATGGGAAAAGGAGTCTGATCCCTTAACTAGAAGAGACAAAAAAGACTCTGGCGCACATTCTGGAAACCAAAAAGACAACTCTGTTGCTCCAACACAAACAGATCAAGAGAAGTCTGATGCCCAACTCGTATCTTGTAAAGAACAACCAAAAAGCCCACCTGTAAAAGACCGGTGTGAAGCCACAACTAGAAAAGATGAGGAAGGGTCTCATACCTCAAGTGGAAACATTTCCAAGGAATCCTGTACCCTAAATAAAAGAGAAAGGGACTCTGAAGTACCATCTTCAAAAGATGAAGAGGATTGCATAGCTCAAAACAGAACACATAAAGAAGATTCCGATGAAGTTGTGTCCGATAACCCACACCGTAAAGATCACGAGAACTATTTGACACAATCTGGAAAAGATCAAGTGGAGTCCGATGTCTTACCTGTGAAATGGATTGAAAAGGATTCTGAGGCCTCGCTTGAAGCGGAGTATCGTGACACAACAAGAAGAGTTCAAAAGTGCGATACCCAAACTGCAAAAGTGTGTTCTCATACCGTATTTAGAAAATCTAACAATGATTATGATGCTCAAAGTATAAAAGATGATGAAGAGTCTAATGCCTCAACTGGAATACAAAAACAGGGGTCTGAAGTGTCATTTTTAAAAGATGATGAAGCATCTGAAATGCTACCTGAAAGCATTGAAAAGGAGTACAGCACCCTGACTAGAAAAAATGAACTTGACTCTGAAAAAGATGAAGAAGGCTCTGCTACCCCACTTGGAAAAGATCAAGAGGATTCTATTACTCCAACAGAAGAGAAAAATGAGTCTGCAGGTAAAACGCTCATAAAATATGAAAAGGAATCTGACGCCTCAATCATAAAAGACATAATAGAGTATACTAACAAAACTCAAGATCAAGAGTGTGACATCGTAACTGAAGGCCATGAATATTGGTGTCATACCCCATCTAGAAAACATAAGTCAAATGTCTCACTTTCAAAGGATGAAGAGGAGTCTGTAACAACAGCTGGAAGTATCAAAACTCGGACCCCGACTACACAAAATGAACAAGACTCTGAAAATGCTGACGGCTCTGGTACCCCACCTGGAAACGATCGAGGGAATTATTCTCCTCCAACCAGAGAAGGTGAAGTGGCGTCTGATGTTGATGTTAAAAATGACTTTAATACCCTGACTGGAAACATTGAAGAAGTATTCCATATTCCAACCAAAAGAGATGAAGTAGACTCTCATACCGCACCTGGAAAAGATGAAGAGGGTTCTGAACAGTTGTCGAATGCCTCACCAATGAAGGATGAGGAGAGTTCTCATGACCTAACTGGAAAAGTTGTCGAGGAGTCCAAAACGCTGTCTCGAAGAAATGATAATGCCTCTGATGCACCACTTGGAAAAAATAAAGAGGACTCTGATGCATCCCCTGAAAAAAATGATCACGTTTCTGATGCACCACTTGGAAGAAATAAAGATGACTCTGATGCTCCACATGAAAATGATGAACATGACTCTGATGCACCACCCGAAAAAATTGAACAAGGATGTGATACCTCCCAAATAAATAATGAGGAGGAGTTGAAGACTCCAACTAGAAGAGAGGCAGACTCTGATATCTTACCTTCAAAAGATGACGCAATGTCTGAATCCACATTTGTAAAACATGAGGTGAACTCTCCAACTGGAAAAAATGGAAAGCAGTCTGATAGTGAAGATGTCACTTGCACACAGCCGGAAAATGTTGAACCGAACCCAGAATTCCCAACAGGAAAAGGGAACGAGGAAGCAAATGCTTCAACTACACAACTGCAGCTTCTGGAGGTACTTAGAAATGTTTCCTCAGGCCAAAACCTCTCAATGGTCCAGGAAGTGATGGAAAGGCACACTCTAGGGAGTGACACTCCCACCCTGGAATGTATCAAGGAGGAGAGCTCAGAGGATGAATTGTTGGCAGGACTGTCTCCTAAGCTCTCGGCCGATATCATGGAGATCAAGAATCCGGTAAATCAACCACTTTTTGGTAAAAATGACACCCAGTTCTTCTCTGTTTGCCTTTGAAACATCTTATGCACGTCTATTGTTTTCCAACAGCTCTTCTCGACCCAGGATTACCTCGAGTGTGTTGGGAGGCTCCAAGATCACGCTGATGTTTTAGATGATGTTAGAAAAGACCTTTTAATTGGGGAACCAACTGGCAGCAACATGGAGGAATTACAGATACAAATAAATGAAATCCAGGTTAGAAAATGATTGATATGACACATCAGTGAAGTCACAACATTAGGTACACCGGTACAGTCAGATCCAAATACAAGAATTACAGTAATGATTACTTTGCATGTTGTCCAGTAAAAAAAGTGGGCATTTTGTCTTTTTTTTTTTTTAAACAATATGTTACTGGTCCATTCTTATTGACAAGGAAGGTGGCGACTTGGGTTCAATCCTGATCCTTGTCAGATGTCCTTGAGCAAGATACTGAACCTCTAGTTAAAGCACAATGAGTACCTGTAAGATATAAAAGCTGTATGAGTGAATTCCATTAACATAGAAATACATATATTTGCATTAGACTAATTTACCCGAGCAACTGTTTTGTCGTAAAGGCGTCGTTTGTGGTATGACTTTAGTACCAGATCTCATAAGATTGTGCAAGTGTACTTATAGTGTAGTTTGTGAAAGTATATGCATTTTAACTCTTTTTAAATCTGCTTTTATCCAGTCATTGGAGTCCCAGGTTTCCTTCCTGGCTGGTGTTTTGACTGAAGATTTGGAAAAAGCCAAACTGCTCTTAAATGCTGCGAATGAGAACATTCCTACCCAAATCCGTAAAGATCTGTCTTCGACATATGTGGAATTACAGCACAATTTCACTGCAGTTTGCCACGAGTGTGCAGAAAGAACCCAGTCGTTGTTTCAAGCCATGGAAGACAGGAAAGTGAGTATAGTAAATGCAGTACAAGAAACTGATTGTGACGTTGTTGTTAAATTTGCTGTCGATGTGATTTCAGGCACATTTGGAATCAACATACCAAAAACATCTTGCTGATCTTGATATGTTAGTGGGCCTCATCCAAAACGAGCAAAATATGGCAGATGCAGATGTCAACACGTGTGATGTTGAAGCACTCAAAAGCTGCATGCAAAAAAACAAGGTATTTTCTCTTGGTCAATGATCAAGGATCAAAACTAGCATTTGAATAGCGGAAAGTAGTTTGAATTAACATCATTTAAGTGACAGACTGCATGCACATGGCACATTTTGTTTTAATCAGATCAGATTTTACATCAATATTTGTTTCAGTATTATTAGTCATTTAAAGTAGATGCTTTTATGTCTTTCGACATGTCCGATCATGTCAGAGCAAGTCACTCACCTGATTTCTTCGGCACGGTTGTTATTCAGAACGCCCTCCCTGATACAACACCACCCTTTTTTTTTTTTTAATGCATCCAGAAATCCATGGTGATATATTGTACACTGTAGGCAGGAAGATTCACATAAACATTTTTGGAGGAAGCAAAACAGATGCTTGCTCTTTCTTTTTCATTATTCCAGGATGCTGAGACTCATCTTCATCATGTGGTTCAACTCAAATTAGAGGATGTCACATTTGCCATCCAGGGTTTTATAAGTGAGCACGCTCACTTGTTGAGTCCATCTCAGAGCAGCAGCCTCCTCAAGTGCCTCAGCAGCACTCAGAGAGCCTTCAGGGACCACGCGGAGCAACTTGTTGCCACAAGGTGTACCTTAGATGTCCTACTGGACACCAAGGAGAGGGAAGTCCAGAAGAAGGTCTGCTGATGGATATCTTGCTCAATATCACAGATGATGTAACATCTGTGTTGGCATGGCTCTTAGACTAAAATTCTAGTTGGTAATAGTTTACATAAAACCACCCAAATACTTGTTTCCATGTAGCATTTGTTTGTTTATAAATGTAGTTGACAAGAAACTAACGAATGTGGATTATACTATTATTCTAAAGTCCAGCAAAATTTGTCTTATTCAGTGTGTGATTGCATGTTCCGGTACTTGACTGGTGCTTTACACTAACCTCTGTGCCGATTGTGTTCTACAGGCCTCCAGAGACCTTTGTGCAATTAACCTTGGAAACGATACAATGCCTGGACTCTTTCCACAGTGATCTCATGCATTTACTCATTCCGTTGAATTTCTCTCTGTGCTTATTTTCTTCTGAAGACCAATGCACTGACCGGCCAGCATGTTTACAGCATACAAGATCTTATGTCAACACGTCTTATGTACATTTTTAATGGTTTTGTCTTGTTTCAGCAGGTATTTTTAATAATCAGATGGCCTTGCCTTTTTTTGTCGACAGTGCATGTTGGAAAGGCACCAAGAGATTGCAGACAAGTTAGAGGAAGTGTGCGACGCTCTCACTTTGACTGAGAATCGTCTGATTGGTCACCAACAGCAGGCTAACAATGCGGACTGTGTTACAGACCTGCAGCAGTACCAGCAGGAGCATCAGGTACGACAAACGTCTTGGCTTTACTTGGAATTTAGGAAATGGAATTCATTGTTATCAGTCAGGGTGAACTTAGCTTCATGCCCTGACACCTTCTCTTGCTTTACGCCCGTCTGATCTCAAGGCCTTGCAAAAAGAGGCCTTGACAAACGCCACTGCATTGAATGAGGTAATCACCGGTACTAAAAAGTTTTTGGAGGAAAATCGAGGAAAGCTGACGGCGGAGCAAATTGCTGACATTGAGACCAAGTTGGAAGAAGCGAAAAGTAAAGCCAAGCTTATCCAAAAGCAAGCTGAGGAGTCCAGGAAGGACTTAGAGAAGGTTGTTACTACTGCAATAAAACAGGAGAGTGAAAAGGTCAGCAAAAATGTGATCGCCTTCATAAATCTGAAATGCATTGGAATGTAAACACAATTGTCCCGTTGTGTTGCTTTATTGCAATTTTTTAATGTCCATTCAGGCTGCAGCTGTTGAGCGTCTTGAGGAAAGCAAGAACAAAATAGAAGGTCTACTTCAGTGGATCTCAAACATTGGGGATAAAAACGAACGAACTATTGATGAAACAGACCTCATAAGCAAAGAGAATGGAAACCTGCCAGAGGAAACATTAGACAAGTTACGGAAAGGAGAGAAGGGTGACGCGAATGGAAACACCTTGCATCGAAGTGAAAGTGGTTTTGACGGGCAAAGCGACGCCTGCGTGGATGTTGACAAGCAATATGAACGAGTCAAGGTACTTTTGCTTTATTGAACTGAATACACGCTGATTTACCACAGCATCATTTGGCATATCTGACGATGAACATTTTTAACTTCACCAGCACCTGCAACCACGTCAATTCATCAAGTGACGCTATACACACAAAACTACACTATTCACGATTTTCAAGTTCTATGGGAAGTTTAGCAGAGGGATTTCGGAGATATTCCAAGGAAATCAAAGTCTGAAATATTCATGGGAATTTGGCATACTTATGGGAAGTTGTATGTTGGGCTAATATCCGATATGAATCCTTTCGGTGTTCTTCATGCAGTTGATTCACAGTAGGAGTTAATTTGCTTGCTTAACTTTATTATGATTGGACGAGTGTACAAACCCATCACAATAACAGGAAAATAATATATTTGAATGTGTGTAGTCTGTGTGCGTTCAAATGCGGCAGTATCATCTCAATTAACCTGTCGGAAAAAAAAGGGGGGATCAATTGAAACTGTTAAATTTTGATTATTTTATCTAATCTGCAGTTTTTAAATCTATTCAGACAAACTTAACACAAACTAAAGCTTGTTATAATTGCTGGAAATTCCAATAAATGTATCATTTTTGAGAATTTTGCATCCCTAACTATCTGATAAAATTGGAGTCTTAATTTGTAGTTTTTATGCTTTGGGCGGGGAGTGCACAATACGGTTTCTTTATGTCATTGATATCACATGTGTAAATATGGCGTCATGTCTTTTGTGTTCGTTCAGGCTCGCCATCAGGAGATTCTTTCCCAGCAACAGGATTTGATCATGGCCACTCAGTCGGCCCAAGCTCTTCTGGACAAGCAAACCAATGTTCTGTCGCCACAAGAAAAGGAAAAACTGCAAGAGAACATCCTAGAACTGAAGGGGCGCTACGATGCCTCCCTCTCCATAGCTGAGCAGCAGATGAAGCAGGTGCAGTGTGTCCAGGAGGAGCTAAAGAAGTTCCATGATGATTGCAAAGAGTTTGAAGCCTGGTTAACGCAGGCTGAGGGCGAGGTGGAGCAGTTGGGCGCCTCAGCGGGCTCCCTAAAAATCCTGAATGATAAACTCCTACGACAGAAGAGCTTTTCGGAGGATGTCATCTCTCACAAGGGCGACCTTCGTTTTATCACCATTTCGGGCCAGAAGGTTCTGGATGTGGCCAAAGCATGTGGAGTCACTGACCCAATGTCTAAAACTGGCCTGATGCAAGTGGATACTTCAGGAACCTGTTCTGTTGTCAAGGATAAACTGGATTCTGCAGCCAGTCGATATAAGACACTTCACTCTCAGGTATTTGATTGGAAAATATTATGGGTGTAATGAAATATATCTACCACTTGGTGGCAGCATTAGTCTCCCGAGCAAAATCTGTGAATGATAAGTCCACTGAACGATCCCAATTAAGACCAAGACCAAATTGCACACCTTCAGATATGGAAATTAAAGAACATCTTGTACTCAAATCATCATTACTTTGATTTCAGTGCCACCGTCTTGGCGAAAATCTCACCGATGTTGTCGGCAAGTATAAGAACTATGACGACTCCAGCACGGACCTATTAAAGTGGCTTGGGAGTTCTGAAGAGGAGGCGAGGAAGCAGCAGTCAGAAGCCATCGCCGCTGAGCCACAAATTCTGCAGATACAGCTGGAGGACACCAAGGCAAGAAACATTACAAATAGGATTTGCTATAAGCGTAATGTTAATTTTAGATTAAGACTAGCGGCTTCCTTATTGTCTTGTAAAGGCAAAATCTCTGATACAAATCTTGTAATCGGCCTCATGAGATGGTGTACCTGATGTTGTGGCTTGTTTATTCCATGTTGTTAATATTTTTGATTCTGTCCTCCTTACGACATATTACGAACCTCATGTTGCGTTCCACAGGCTTTACAAGGTCAGATGAGCGGACATCAGACGGCTATTGACGCCCTACGCAAAACAGCAGATTCTTTGATCTCATCTGATGGAAACCTGCTGAACAACTTAGATGAGATCCAGGAGACAGTAGGTGAGAATCTACATGGCCTAATAGATGCTTTTTACATCATCATTTCGATAATTGAAGTTTTAATGACAACTGGATATTTATCTTTGTGCCGTAGATGACATAGTGGAGCGCTATGACAACTTGTCCAAGTCCGTGAGTGATCGAAATGAGAAACTGCAGATGACTTTGACTCGCTCCATGAGTGTTCAGGATGGACTGGATGAGATGATGGGATGGATGGAGGGCGTGGAGGCCAACGTGAAAGAGAATGGAAAAATTCCACTAGACTCTGCATCCATCAGAGACATGTTGAGCAAAGAAACAGTATGTATTTTTGTGAGGACCGTACCTGCGCTGATTTTTTAAAATATTCATGTGTGCAGATCGCTACAGATGTGGTTTGCTAGTTGAAGCTGGCTGTAAAAAGTTTTGCTCTGACCATTCAACAAGACGATGGTAAAATGCTGATGTCATTCGCGGGCCCCGCCTTGGCCCCGTGAGGCCAAATTCAAAACCTTATTTGTTCAAGAAGCTATCCCATTCATAACATATCATCAGTTACATTTGTCAGCACTACTGATTCTGAAGACCCAGGGCAGATTAAATTGATAGACAACAAGTGTAGGCTGAAATTCAATTGGATAAAATAAAAATCAAACATGTAGATGAGTCAATGTAGACAAGAAAAACGCTGTGGCCAGTTGGCCAGCTCTCATGCTCGTATTTTCCTATGTTTGAGTCCATTTCACAGTTTAGCATATTCTGTGCTTTTGAAGGCCATCGAGCAGGACATAGCAAGTCGCCAGAGCAGCATCTCAGCCATGAAATCTAAAGTGAAGAAGTTTGTGGAAACGGCCGACGCCTCCTCTGCGGCACTCCTGCAGTCCAAGATGGATGCCCTCACCCACCGCTTCTCAGACACGTGTGACAAACACAAGCAGAAAGTTTCACGTCTGGAACAACTGAAAGACAAGGTGGAGCAGTTTGAGAAGGTCGCAGAAAACGTCCAGCAGTTCATTGTGAAGCGTTCGCAAGATCTGCATGAGACTGACGGGCCAGGGAAAACCTTTGAAGAACTCTCTGAGCTAACGCAGGTGAGTGGACTGCCAAGAATGTACAGTTTAGCTGCTGTTGCTGAAGCAAACAACAAAGTGTGTGTGTGTGTTTTTTTTTAAGAAAACAAAGGCTGAGATGGTTGAACATGCCAGTAATTTGGAGAAGTTGCAGACCTTGTCCAAGGAGCTGTGTGAAATGAGCAAAGATGGTAACAGAGCACAGATCCAGAGCAAAATGGACAATCTCTCAAACATCTTCAGCACCTTCAAAGACACGCTCAAAGAAAAGTACTTTCCATTTCATCATTTCCTAAATATTTGTGCTTTCAAAGGCGCACAGAGTAAATCAATGACACTTCATGATGACTGCATTGGTTTATTCTGCAGGGAGGAGGAGGTATCAGTCTGTCAGGACCTGTTAGGAGAATTCAGGTCTGCGGCCGGTGCTCTCAGCAAGTGGCTGGAAGAGACTAATGAGAAGGTGCCTGTGGTGCAGAAAAGTTGCAGCGCTAAAAGTTTGGAGAAGGACCTCCAAATAGTTTCTGTGAGTCACTGTATGCAGTTTTCAAATGAATCCAAAAATCTTATTTATCACTGTCCAAATATGATATAAATAATGACGTATGGAGTGAAACCAGGTTTTTTTTCTCTCCACCTGCTATGAATCCAAAAGTACGTATTTTGATTGGTAAATTTTTCCATAGGAATTACTGGAAGAATGGACATCGAAAGGCCCTGCTGTGCAGGACCTGAACAGCAGAGGATCTTCACTTTGCAGTCGCCTTACTATTCTCACATCCCCTGCCAAAGCCAAGATTCCTAACAAGACAGGTAAACACACTGTCTATTTGAATTATAAAAAGGGATTTGGAAGATCGGTGTCATTGTGCATGTTAATGCTGCAGTGTGGCTAACTGGGATATTCGTCTTTAACTTAAGCTTTGTCTTCACGTCTCTGTATTAGCTCTTACTAATGGTGGTGGTCCAGCGAGCCATTCCTACCTAACCAATAAAGGTAATCAAGCGTGCATGAGTATTGCAACGCGAATGCAATTAACATTGGTGTTTTTGGCTGCATTGTAGTAGCGGATGAGATACTGAAATGTTATTGTGGGCATGCACTGTGATCAAATCAGGACTAACATGACTTGGTGTCATATTTTTGTGTACGTTGTCCAGCTGTTTGTTGTTGTTCTATGCCAGGAAAACCTTGGCATGAGCTTCTGAAGCGCTTTTGATTGTATTTCTAAATATTTATCCTAATAAGTATCCTAACCTCATTCTAAAAGGTAAGCTAAATTATCATTTGAGGTGAACTTTACCAGGTGAATTTATTTATACGTCTTATATAAAGCGGATAATGAAATCCCTAAGACACACTAACTTTCATCATTAAAAAAATTGTTCTCTAAAGTCCTGAAAATGTTTGGACCCAATTGCCTGTAATTGTGCCAGTCATTTGTGTTAACTTGCAAAATTGAGGAAATGGCAAGCTATTCATATTTTAATTGTTTGAATTCCTCAGAGCTGATGACAATTCAGCAAAATATGTCATTCGTCAATGAGGGCTATTCCTGTCTGGGTGACACCCTGAAGAGCCGAACAGCCGAGCTGAATGGATCTGTGCAGGAGCTCAAGGATGCCAAAAAGGAGACCGAAAACATGATGACCTGGCTGGAGGATATGAAAAAGACGGCAGCTTCGTGGAAGAACGGCGCCACAGAGAAAGATGCAGTGAAAACACAACTTGAACAGCAGAAGGTGATGAGATAAGATGGTGTCAAATATTCTTTAAGATGGCGCTTAAAGCTATTGACACTAAAATGTGCTGTGTAAATTTGCCAACTTGACAGCTTGTCTTTAAAATGCTGCAGAAAAGATTCACTCATGGATTTTACGAGCTCGGGTTAATTTCAGAGAAGTAAAGATCAGTGATGTGAGAGAGAATATTGCTCGTTAATATCTTGAATCCAAATAAAACTGCAAGCCTATTTCTCAGTGGCTGATTTTTACGAGCATGAAATTACAATTGATCCAATAAATGGCTCAGTCTGTTTAGGAGAAATAGGCCGGACAAAGAGAATATCGTAATTTCCTCTGGGATCATTACAATTAATGTGCTTTATTAATCGTCAATACACAAACAGACATACATGCATCTGGAAAGTATTTGCAGCGCTTCACTTTTTCCATATTTAAACAACTAAAAACTCACATTTACCGTATTTTCCGCACTAAAAGGCGCACCTAAAAGCCTTCCATTTTTTTAAATACAGCCAATTTGCAAAAAAATGAAATTTATTTAATTTATCATTATGGGGTGTTGTGTCAAATGCGGAAGGAAAATATGTCTTAAATTTTGGGATGAGGCTATAACATAAAATGTGGAAAAAGTGAAATGCTTTAATTTAATTTATCATGATGGGGTGTTGTGTGTCAAATGCGGAAGGAAAATATGTCTTAAATTTTGGAATGAGGCTATAACATAAAATGTGGAAAAAGTGAAATGCTGTGAATACTTTCTAGATGCAATACATGCATTCATATATACATGCATTCATTCATTATTTCTGTAATCATTTGTTTTTTTTTATTTTTTAGGTGTTTGAAGATGACATGAAGCAGAAGAAAGAGCAGCTCCACAAGCTGAGGGAGAAGCTTATCGGCTTGATTGAAACTCATCCAAACTCACAAGAAGCAGACAAATGGAAGCAGATGTTGGCAGAGATCGGTATGCACCAATAGGTTTTCTTTTGATGGAATCCCAGTAATATCATGTGACCTTTCTTGAGGCCGTGTTTGACTCGTGCTCTGTCCAGAATGCACCCCGCCTGTCGTTGAATGTCACAGCACCTGCTGTTTGAAATTAAATTAACACGTTTATACAGCCAAATGCTGCACAGTGTGAGATGTGGACACTTCATGGAATGACGCTGACTCATGTTTTGTTATTATAGATGCTGCTTGGGCAGATATTAGTGGCTCAGTGTTGGAGAGGAAGCAGCACCTGGAGCAGTCCAACAAGAATCTGGACATCGTCCAAAGCACTCAACTGCAGCTTGGTCAGTGGCTGTCAGAGAAGGAGCTGATGATGAGTGTCCTTGGACCGCTCTCAATTGACACCAATATGCTGAAAATGCAGAAGCAACAAGTCCAGGTAAACACAATTTATAGTGTTGTTTCAAATAATCTCATCATGAATATGATAAAATGTGTTGGATAAAGTAATTCTATAGTGTGGTTATATTTTTCCTTAATATGAATTTAATTTACAGGTGGGTGGATTTCGATTCAAGTATATGATGGATAAATTAACTAATATATAATAATTAAACTAAATGGTCTTGTAATTTTTTTCTTGATGAATTACAACCTTATTTTCATATGATTCTTTTTCCTCATAATGTTACAACTATATTCTTGTTAAATTGTCACTTGATTGTCCTTGGTAATTTGTTTATTGCAATTGCGGTGGGGAAAACAGAAGAAATGCATTTGCTCTCTCTGTCAAACTTGATTCCTTTTGAAAAACATTTTCAATAGATGTACTGTATGAAGGGTCGGAAGTTGCAATTGTGAACTAAATGCCACCTGGATCTGATCCAGCCTGCTTACGTTGCTATCAACATATCAACTATAAGGGACTTTCTCCTAATCAGCCATCAAGTAAATGGGACCAACTGAACATCTTTTCTGTTTCTCTTGATCAGATCCTCCAGAATGAATTCAAGAGCCGCAAGCCTCAGTTCGAGCAACTCAAGGAAGCTGCGTCAGCCATCTTAAACTCATCCGATAACCAGGACCCATCAAATGGGAAGCTGGTGAGGGCGCAGCTCACTACTGTCACTGAAAAATGGCAAGGACTTATAAGGCAGCTGGATCAGCGAGATGGCCTCATCGACCAAGCTGTGGTGAAGACGGGGCAGTTCCAAGAGCTGTTGAGGACCATCGGCCAGACCGCTGCTCAGCTGGAGGATGAGCTCAGCAGGTACCAGACCAGCAGCACCCAGCCCGACGCGGTGAGGAAACGACTGGAGGATGTCCACAACATCTCGGTCCAGCTGAGAGAGGAGAGGGGGAAGCTGAAGGAGGCCGAAGCAGTTCATGCAGAGCTCACAGCAATGGTGACCGAGGACTATCTCAGAGCTGACTTAGACAGGCAGCTGGAGACTGTTAGCAAACCTCTCCGACAGCTGGAAGAAAGAGCAGGTGTGTCATCTTTATTTTATGACAACAGTGGGCCAAGAGTTAAGGAAAAATAAATGGTCCTGGCTCCACCTACCGCAAAATTAAATTTGAGAGCCCAAGTTTGTTTTGTTTTTTTTCGTGTGTGTTTGTGGTTGGGCAACATTAATTTCTCTTCCAGGGACTCTCCGTGAAGTTTTTGTACGAATCGTCCCATTGATTATTTATTGAGAGTGATTGCAATGACTGAACTAACAAATGTGTAAAAATGACACTGGGTGAAGGTGAAAGAAAAAAAATTATATCTCTCAAATTGTTTCAGATTTCAAATGCATCTGATCTTGTGCTTTGAATGGACGTTGTTCCTTTTTCCCAGATCCAGAAAACTCTTTAAGATTGATATCCTGATCATAGCGTCATTTATTCTGCACGTAGCACATGTTTAAGCCTTGACACAGTGTTCTCTCTCTCTCAATCTTCTTTTTCTCATGCTGCAGCCAAACAGATTGAGCAGCTGAACTCAACTTTCGCCAGCTCCCAGCAGTTTCACCAAACTTCCAAAGACTTCCAGTCATGGCTGGCTGAAAAGCTGCAGGACCAGTCAAAGCCTCAGGCCATCTCTGCCAAAGTGGTCGTCCTTGAAAAAACTCTGGATGAGCACAGGAACCTGCAGGTGGCGCTCAGTGAACTAGAGGCCACTTACAGTAAAATAGCTGGCGAAGGCGAGATGCTTCTGCAAAGCACTGATGGTGCAGAAAAGCTGGCCCTGCAAGGTCAACTATCTCTCCTCTCCTCGAACTGGAAGGAGGTGAAGAAGAGCTCTGAGGCACAGGCTGACAAACTTAAAGCTTCCCTTCAGAGAGCTCAGACGTTCGAGGAGCACGTTGAGAAGCTCAACGCTTGGGTGAAGGAGTGCGAAGCCAAAGAGGGCCGAGTCAAACTTTCTGTTGAGCCCGTTGCTGTGGAGAACGCTGTATCTCAGGTCAAAGCTCTTCAGAAGGACGTAGATAAGCACAGAGGGGTGGTGGAACAGATGAATGCTGCCGCAGCCAGCCTGGTCGAGGTGGCTGACACTGACACGGAAGAAATTACAAAAGAGGCGGCGAGCATTTCTAAAAGAGTGGATGGCATCTTTGAAGGACTTCAAAACAAAAGAGAATCCTTGGAAAAGCTCTCACATACAATTAAAGAATTTAACGAAGGCTCCAAAGAGGCCAAGGCTCATCTTGAGGGAGCTAAGAAGCTCTTAGAAGCTTATCAATCCCAGGGAGTGCAGGCCTGCAGCAATAAGAACTTGACAAACATGAAAGCACAACAAAAAAGCATTGAAGGGATGCGAAACCAAGTGGAACACCTTTCGAGATTGGCACAGACACTTGTAGTTGATCTCCCAGATGCTGATGGAGTGACTGACTTATTACTGCAAGCGGACAGCATAGAAAAGGAATACAGTAGCCTGAACAAGGAGCTAGAGGAGACATGCCAGGTCCTGGAGGGAAAATTGCAGGGCATTGGGCAGTTCCAAAACAGCATCCGGGAGATGTTCAGCCGCTTCACAGATCTGGATGATGAGTTGGACAGCATGCCTCCGGTGGATCTGGACTTGACTGTTCTTAAAGGGCAGCAAGAGAACATTGAGAGCTTTCTTGCTCAGCTGCAAGAGTTGATGGTCAACACAGCCAATGCAGGCGATGGCTGTAAGAGGATGCTGGAAACTAACTCCTCACCTGACCTGTTGGGCCTGAAGAGAGATCTGGATGCGCTGAGCAAGCAGTGTGGCAAGTTGATGGACCGAGCCAAAGGCAGAGAGAGGCAGGTGCAGAGTACTTTGGTCAAGCTGGAGGAGCTCTGTGGAAAACTCCGCCACGTAGAAGATCAACTCTGCAGAGCTGTGGACAAAGAAGCGTCCCAAGGAGCTGTCGGCATGGAAACAGACATCATCAAGCAACAGCTGGAGGCCTTTAAGGTGCGTTTATCCATTTATCCTGTTCTACAAGTCCAGGCACAAACTTTTGGATGTCACCATAGAAACTATTTTAACATACAGTACCGGACACAGATATTTGCAGATTTTGATAAACTGAAGCAGCTGCTTTCATACTAACTCCAGATTCAGATGTGGCATACGCTCGATGGACACATCATTAGGTTCAATTGCACAATGTCGTAAGATTCAATACAGTAGACGTGGGTAATGACGTAACTGTCTTGCATGTGGGCAAGGAGAACAACACCCGCCAATGCATCTTTTTTTTTTTGTTTTGTTTTATGTTAACATATAAAAAATTTGAAAAATATTGACCGTGATTGACTAATTGACAGAATTGAATTGTTTCAGTTACTGAGCTTGATTGATTGTGAGTCCATGCGAATGTCCAGCAGTGATTCTCTTGCCATGGATGCAGCATAGCTTGCGTTTCCAATCAACTACAGAGCAAATATGAGTGTGAAAGATTTTCTTTGGCTAGCTGTAGGCCTCTTTGTTTTGCCCAAAGTCAGCTGGCACAGGCTCCAGCTTCCAGCAGTAGTGAACAGAATAAATAGTAAATGTGTAGACAAATAGAAACAGATTGTACTATTACCAGCATGTGTTGTAATTGTTCCATAATATATAAGAATTAATAGTAGTAAAAAATAACATCCTATCCAGAGTCCATTTTTGATACAGCCCTTATTTCTATTAGTGCCGTTACACTGTGTAGGTGCATTAAAGTGTCCTCATTTTATGTCTCATACATTTTCAATTTTGAATCAATCAAGCCAATCACCGTTTTATCATACTACTTTTATAGTTTCACAATACTAGCACTAAGATATGCAGATCATTTCCATCACACCGATTCCCAGTGGAGCACATGACCAGCAGGCTTCATTCGAACCCTCTCAGTACAAAAGCACCAATACTCTGGAGACTGCATGCTCGTCAAAGGCATCTGCTGTTAACAAAAGGGCCATTGCCTTCGGCGGTAGGTAGATTTTGGGACGCAGCCAGGTGGTTGCCAGCAGGGTGTCATTTTAGTCCTGGATGATGAATATGGGCTTTGTATCAGAGTCAAGTGTTTTCAGCCAGTATTAGCTTAAGGTTCCGTTTTCCTGATGTGTTCACTTATGAAAGTAGCAACCAGGAAAGAAAGCTAATATGGAGGTGCTCTCCTTTTGCTGTTACTGCTTCCACTCTTTTGGGAAGACCTTGAGTCAGAAGTTTGAGGGTGTTGTTTTTATACTTTGTTCTTCTAACAAGCAAAGTACATGTTATCATGCAGCATTTTAGCAATATATACGTTACACAGCTCAGCTGGCACAAATGGAAATGAACACGACTTTCCCAAAGGCTATCGAAACTTTTATTGTGAAAATGATTGATGGATTTAACTTGGCCATGTCATCCTTGTAATCACAGGCTTAAATGGTATCGATGATGATATCTTGGAGGCCTGTTTTTAATTACACCCCCGCAACGAGTGCGGGGTCATGGGCGAGTGGAAGTCGCTCTTCGAAGGTAAAAGAAAAGCCCAAACTCCACTTACTGATAAATCGATTCCACCGTTGTCACGACGGCACTTTACACTTTTTTTGCTGTGTGTCATAAAATTGTTTTACCCCAAAGAACAAACACAAATTAAAATCAAATAAGGGAAAATATGGATTTTAGAAAGTAATTAGGGAGCATCTTGGATTTAACTCTGTTTTTAATTACACCCCCCCCACACACACACACACACACACACACACACACACACACACACACACACACTGGATGTCGTCATTGTTATCAGCAAAGGATAAAGTGTTAGCTATTAACAAGGTTTTGACACAAATATTTTAAAAGCCCATAAATTCCTTTGGAGTTCTCCAATAGAGGATTAGCCTACATTTAGAACTGCAATATGATAAACACTTGGGATCATTTCAGGTTTTAAATAGCATTACAGTAAAACAATGTAAACAGATGTGTTTTGGTCCGGTGACACAGATGTGTCTGCGCAAAGATGTAGGTCAATGGATTGTTTTTTTTGTTTTGGTTTTGTTTTTTTCTAAAAGAATGGGGGAGTCCTGCTGGGTCGATGTTTTCAACCCCTCTTTGTCCTGGGAATCAACTGGGAATTAGTGGGGAAACCCCCCTTTGCATTCATTTGTGTCAAAAGATTGTCAAAGGCAGCAAATCAGACTTTCTTTGCATTAGCTTTGATGCTTAACAAACATGATGCAGTGGCATCATATTCTTGATTTGTAGTCTGAGGATAAGCTTTGTGTTACTGACTTAAGTGAGAGAAGAATAAACAGAGAAGGACTGCTCTTGGGTTTCTCTCTCATGGACTCTTACTACCATTTTAGGTCAGTTTTTGTAAGAGATATGCCTGACGTAAGCTCAAGAAGCTTGCCTGTGGAAGGTGCATACAGTATGGACGGTATCTGTTATGTACTCTATGGGATCATTGGCAGTTCGTTGGCTAAAAAGTGCTGGGGGTTATAGCGTGGGTGACTCGTGCTCTTCAGACATGACATCAGAGTCTGTTTCCATTCAAAATGGAATTTCTATCTTCTGAGTCACCTTAGCTAATCCATGTTGTTAGAGTTTATGGTAAAAAAAGAAAAATCTTGATTACTCATCACTGTACAGCATAGACACATTGAAGCACAAGTATGGAATAGTTGATAGAAAGGTGGCCTGGTGTCAGACTAGTCCACTCAATTTTAGTCCACTGAGGTTTGTCATCTTTTGTTGCCATGGCAATAACTGAGATGATGTTCTCCTATTTCAAGGATGTTACTTAGATTGTTCTTGGTTTTGCTGTTCGGTGCTTTCTACTGTTTTTATGACCGATTTGCTTTACTGTTTGTTGTATATGTTAATTTGCTCCATGTACAGCACTTTGTATGCAGCGATGGCTGTTTGAAAGTGCTCTATAAATACAGTTGAGTTGAATTGAGTATTTTAAACTATTGTTACATCAGTGTGACTTTAAAACAGACTAACTTTTGAATATGCTTTCTTAAAAAAAACTTTCTACCAAAGCTGAAATTATTTATCTTAATTATGTAGACTGAAAAGGTGTAGTATCAGAACGAACCGTTGGCCAAGGAAAATACTTTTTAGATTTCTGCAAAACACTATGCACGTAATGTGGAAAATTAGAAGAGTAGTTGGGTTTCGTTCCCAATGGCCATTCTTTGTTTAGGTGGAGGTTGATTAATGGTCCTGCTGGGAAAATGTTTGAAAAAAAAAAGGTCTTTTATAGCACAACATTATTTGTCTTGCCGAAATCAAATAGAGACTTAAAAGTACTTAGAGAGACAACGTGACCAAAAAATGACCTGCGTAAAAAAGGCTCTCAGTTTTTTAATCCTGGCATATCTCACATGGTAATTTATCTCTGCCAACGTGTTTTTTTCCATCTCCACTCATGCATGACGAGTGGGACAAAGAAGTTGAGATTGTTGTCTCCTTTAGTCATTGAGTGCTGCTGAAAATTGGGGAAACAAAAACAAATTCCTGTCATCATTTGCTTGATATCCTCCCGCTGTCTCGCTGTTCCCTACCCAGGTCACCAGACAAAACAGACGCTTCTTGCACTTGGCATGGCAGCCGGTGTTAAATTACCTGCAACCTGTGCCTCCCTCAGCATTCCAAAGTAATTAAAAGTATCCACAGGGTTCAACACAACCGTCGGGCGAGGGTAAAGACAATGAAAAAGAATAATCTATATCTTGTTGAGAACATTGTGATGAGAGTCATGTTCTCCCCAGTCCATCTGAAAGGAAAAAAACAAACAAAAAAAAAGTGATTATGTCAGGATGTAAAGGATGACTTACAAGTGAAGTCATAAGGGCCGTGCAGACATAAAGGCGAATTAGAAAGAGGGGTTGGGGCGGATGTATGCATCGACCAATCAGCATGTGCCGGTGCCCTTCTCCGCACAAATGGAGTTGTGGCAGATGTTGCGTGAATAATGAGCGGGGGCGGGGCATGGAAGCCTCTGCCAGGAGGGTGTCTGTCATTGCGAGCCGAGTAGCGAGGGAGAAAGGGCAGGCTGTTTTGTTTATCCATTGAGTACCAGCACGCTTTGGAATAAGCCACAATTTTTCCTGTCAGGATTCATGCGTGGATATTTCACTCTGCACATTTGGACGTTTCAGAAATGATGCTGCCAGCATTTCGGGGGAATAGGATGCACCTTGAACCAGAAGAAATGGGATTAACTTTTGTCAGTGGAAAGGGGGGGAAGCCTAAATGGAGAGAATGAATGGATCCTTTTTGAAACTTCAGCACTAGAATATAATTTATTTAGATCGGCTTTTTATATCCATGCACCATAATTTATGAGATGCTATTTTTATGTAAAATACATAAATATTTATTATTTATTTGGTATTTTAAAGCAGAAATCTAATTTGCACATTTTTCCAAGAATATACATACACACTGAAGCAAGCTACGCAGTAAGATAGTATGTATTTTTTTCTTTGTAAGCAATAGAGTGTATGTTTTGGCATGGGGAAACCGCTGAGCCGACCAGATTGCCTCAGACAAAACCCGTCCTGCTTGGGGAAGGGGGAGGAGGAGGACCTGAACATTGATGACTGCTATGTGCCTCAGAGGTCCATTTATGACACAGTGCGACTCAATGAGCAGATAGACTCAAGCTCTAAGGGTAGCCTCACATCCCGACACTTTGTGGGGACCTTACCTTACACCCACCGCACTCTCGACTTCAGCAACCTCTGTGGAAATGGAGCCCTTTCCACCTCCAGTTCTTTTGAGCTCCGTACCCGTAAACCCGCCACATTGGACGAGCGGACCGTCTTTGACGGACTCAAACTCAACGGCAATATCATGAGAGCTACAGATACGGTGCTGCCAAAGCCACGTCCCCAAAGTGGAGAGAAGCCACCTCAATATCGGCGCTCGTGGCGGACTTGTGCCCCTACAAATCTCGGCGAGTATGCCGGCCGCGGTGGAATTTTATGTTCCGGGAGTGCAGAGAGATCAGGATTGATCGTTGGAAGAAGAGGACGGAGTGTGACCAGCTCTCTGACATCCGAAGAAGACTCAGGACTGTATAGCCCTACTGTAGAGAGGGAACGTCATGCTCAACGTTCCCACAGGAGGCCAGGGCCCGGCACAAGGAGCCTCTCCTCTTCGGAGGCCATGCACTTGTCCGGGGACTTGAAAAGGCTTCGGTCCCTAAGCTCAGGACAAGATGAGTTCCCATTCACGCCAACTCGGGATAACCATTCCCTTTACCAAAGTGGTTGCTTGATTCAAGAGCCACAGCAGGTGCAATCGAATGTGGTAAACTTGAATGAAAAGGATAATCTGAATAATGGAGATTGCAAGTACTCCATAGGGAGATCATCTACAGGGTCAGCCTTTAGGACTCTTAATGAAACCTCTGGGTGGTATTCTAAGACTCCAACAGACTATGAAGAGCTATCCACCGCCGAGCTGTTAGAGGGTGTGTCATCGCAAGAAGACAGTGAGCTTGGCACCGTGCTGGTGACACAGCCTGAGACTTACGGAAACTCTGTAACTCTACCCATTGATGGCCGTCAGCAAACCAAGCCATGCACTGTGCAACGAGTGGCGTCTCAATACAATATGGAAGAGCTGGAAGAATTCCTGCAGTCAGTGGAGGACTGCCTGCCCAAAGATTTACACGCATTCCAGCATGCGGGAGAGATTGAGGCATTACTGAATGCTATTTGTCCAGAAGTGGACTGCACACAGGTGCCCAAAAATAGCCTCTTCACTCATTTTAAGATCATCCCCATTAGTTGGTCTCGAGCATGTCACACTGGATGATATGGATCGTCAGATGAGTTGCTGTTGGCTCTGTGCCGTACATATCTGATTACAATGATGGGTGAATTAGGTTTTGCCTGGAAGACTGTCTGTCTGTGTGATTATATGCAGCTGCCGCTCACTGTAAACTTGGCTCCACTGGTAGAACAGAGCATTAAGAGAGTTGTTTATTTGAGTTGGACTCTTAACACTATCTTAACACTAAATCCAGCAATGTTGGGCAAATTGTGCGGCAGAATCTGGAAGAACTCAATGTCGTGGCAATTTTTGAGATAGTAAACATGCTAAAATTATTTATTGTATAGGTGGTTTTATGATTGGGTTTGGAGAACTGGTGAATGTAACAATAAAACTACAAAATCATAAAATTATATGAGACATAATTCTTCAACGTTAGCGCATAGAAGTGAAGCCATGTTTTCACATTGAGAACTAAAGTTTCATGGGGACTTCTGCATTAGAGCGCTCGCAATATTTTGACCTTGACAAAGAGGTTTTTAAAACAGTTTATTCATTCATGCTCAGTGGCAATCATGTTAAATAACTTGTCAACAATAAATGATGATTGTATATCCGTTACTATCTTACATCGGAGAGCAGAAATTCTTAGGATCGCGTGGCATTTTATTCATAATGAGACTTGGAAGAAATGACAAACTTGAGGTAAATGCTAGCTTACATGGATCTGTATGAACTGCATGGAATCTGAATGGTGGGGCCAAATTGTTCCTCCAATGTTCTGATAGAATATGCCACCTTTGCCAGGTTGAGTATATAAATGTGGCTTATTGCTGTTATTTTGCAGGACTTCGGTGTTAAATTATAGGTGTGGCTGTCCCTTGATGGAGGGATGCATTTTTTTAGAATTATGGGTCATTTAATTTCAACATGTATTAATTTAAGTGGCTTTTGGTATCCCCGCTGCCATAATTACAGTTCACCCTGATGGTGCACCCTCATGAATCCATTGTTTGATGTTGATTGTAGGCTTTCCAAAAGGAAGACATCGACCCATTGCAGGCCCAACTCCAAGACATCAACTCCATCAGTCACGGGCTGATCCAGAATGCTGCTAGAGGAACCAATACGAAGCAGCTTGAGAATGACCTGGAGAAGGTTAACACCAAGTGGAACACACTTAATAAAAAGGTATGCGATTGGCCGGCTAGCATTACAGTCAAACATCAGAAATGTGTCACAGAAATACATTTCTGTCTGGTGATATCCAGGGTACACGTTTCAACTAGCTTCATAACAGAACACTTAACATAAATTTTTGCCTTGTCATCCAAAGATTGCTGAGCGCTCAGCCCAGCTGCACGAAGCCCTGTTGCATTGTGGAAGGTTCCATGATGCTCTGGACTCTCTGCTCAGCTGGTTGACCGACACAGAGGAGCTCATGGCCAATCAGAAGCCGCCTTCTGCAGAATTCAAAGTGGTCAAGGCACAGATACAAGAGCAGAAAGTAAGCATGCGTTATGTGCACTCAGCGACACTTGCAGTACATAAAACACCATTCTGGTTCCAACAATTAGGGCTTTACAATTCATCTTCTTTAACTGACAGTCATTGTTCAACTTGATTGCGGTTCGTAAAGCTTATAAAGATCTAATGGAGACGTAATACATGCCTTTGATTGATTGTTTTCCACCATGAAGAAACTCCTACGCTCAGAGCATTTTAATGATGCCCAATAAGTCTTATCCTTTGTTCGCTTTGGCAGCTCTTACAGAGGCTGTTGGATGACCGTAAACCCACAGTGGAGCTGATAAAAAACGAAGGGGGGAAGGTTGCAGAACTCGCAGAGTCCGTGGATAAGGAAAAGGTTGCGAAAGAGATGCAATCCCTTGGGCAGAGGTGGGACACTCTGCTCAAGAAAGCTGAGAACAGGTTGGTGTGCACCCTGTTGCTTCAGTACTTTGCACAAAGAGGTTAACCAAGTAGAAAAGCTGCCGACATTAACATTTCAGCTTAGCCTGCATTGAAATTTGCGAGTTTTAAGGTATTCCATTCCACTATCGCTGACATCCAGTTAACTTTGGTGCCAATCCAGTCATTTTATTACTCAAGGACAATTGTCAGCTTGATTAAAGGGTCATCATATTGTCAATATGTCAGTTCAACGTCTGAAACTGACTGGACAAAATAAAATGTACCTGTACTGCTATTGTCTCTTTGTCAGGCACAAGCAACTGGAGAGCATTTTGGTGGTGACTCAGCAATTCCACGAGACCTTGGAACCTCTGAGCGACTGGCTTGCCGTCACAGAGAAGCGGCTCTCCAACTCAGAACCAATTGGCACAGAAACGTCAAAGCTGGAAGAACAGCTCTCCAATCATAAAGTAAAATTCCATGTCATGTTCACCAGTGCGCCACCCTTTTAAGTTTTTTATCCATTCTGTTTTTATGTTACATTTTTTACTTTTCACTTGTTCCATTTCCATTCAATTTCAGTTGGTTTTCTGTTTGTCTTTTCTGTTTGCGTCGCATTGTTTCCCCATCCCCTGCGCTCAGGCCATAGAAGAGGAGATTATGAATCACAGTAAAGACCTGTTTCATGCGGTCAGTCTGGGTCAGATGCTCAAAGCTGTGAGCTCAGTTGATGACAAGGACTTTGTTCAGTCCAAGCTGGATGCCGCGCAGGCCGCTTACATCGAGCTGCAGGAGCGCTGCAGGAGGAAAGCCGAGTTGCTGCAGCAGGCCCTGGCCAACGCCCAGCTCTTTGGAGAGGATGAGGTGGCGCTCATGAACTGGCTCAGCGAGGCACACGCACGGTTGAGTGAGGTGTCCGTGGAGGACTACCGAGTAGACACACTTGAAAAGCAGATGGCAGAACAACTGGTACACACTCATTCCAGGGCCCAGCATCCTTTTGTCTTTTTCTGTCAAGTTAATCATTTCTCATTTTATTTTGCGTGTTGTTTTACCATTATTTTTTTTTGTCTTCAAGGACATGTTTTCTTGTCACCGTTTAAGGTTGTAATTTTTCTTTTAGGCTCTACAAAGTGATATTGAATTGAGGAAGAAGAATGTTGATCAAGCCCTCTTCAATGGGATGGAACTATTGAAGCAAACAACAGGTACGTTCACCCGTACGACACCACCAAGATCTAACTCCTAAGTTATGCCCTATAACAACACATGGTTCTCTTATTACAGGTGATGAGGTTGTTGTTATCCAAGGGAAATTGGATGGAATAAAAACAAAATATGCTGAGATCGCCTCCATGAGTGAAAATGTTTTGAACACACTGGAGTGTGTTTTGAGTCTTTCCACAAAGCTGCACCATACACATGAGGATCTGAGCTCCTGGCTGGTGAAGGCAGAGGCGCACATCAGTTCCTATGTGTATCAGGAGCCAAATGGCGAACAGCTCACTCAAGCCCAAAACATTCAACAGGTAAGATTGTGTACTGGAAATTTAAATGTGAATTCATTCATTAGAAACTCAGTGAAGACTAGGTGCATTTGATTTCCATAATCGCTATGAAATGTTTAACTAGGAGAAATATTTAAAGCTGTACACTTTTCATAAAGAGTAATTTCTAATTATTTACAATGAGAGCTTTACTGTGTTTTATTTGTGAATCACACTTGAATCCAGGTGTTCATCTGAAGACAACAGAATATAACTTCAACAACGTGTTTGCTGGTTGTGTGTAAATCTTGTTTTCCAGACCTTGCTAACAGAGACTAAAGACAAAAAAGCTGCAGTGGACAAGCTGAATGAATTGAGTGCTTCCCTCCTGGATCTCATTCCCTGGCACACCCGAGAAGGTCTTGACAAGCTGGTGACAGAGGACAATGAGCGGTACAAAGCTGTCTGTGACAGCATCACTCAGCAGGTCGACCGGATCAATGCTGACATTCTCAAGTCACAGCAGGTGAGCCAGAATGAATGGAGTGATTTTTCCTCATCAAGCTTTTTCCCCTGTTTTGTCCAACTTTAGCTGTCTTCCATTTTTCTGAAGTATTTTTTTCGGTTCTGTACCCTCCCCCACCAACCTAGTTTGAAGAGGCAGCAAATTCTGAACTAGCGTGGCTTACGGATGCTGAAAGCAAGCTACTCTCAATCGGGGAGATCAAATTGGAGCAAGACCAAACTGCAGCCCAGATACAAGCACATAAGGTCAGTCTTTCGCGATCTGTTTACAAGTGTGGTCTGTCCAACATTCAACCGCAGTCACTTAAGTGTGTTTTCTAGGTCTTTTCTATGGATATCATGAGGCACAAAGACTCTGTGGATGCAATAGTAAAAACGGGAAAAGCCATCATGAGCAGCAAAAAGCCAGAGGAAAAGGAACTATTAAAGGTGAACAACCAAATCAAAATATTTATTTGTCTCCTGGTTTCTACTCAATATACATTACACTATCTTGTCTCATGTCAGGCCAAGACCCAGACTCTTGTAGAGAAGTGTGGTGTGGTGAGTCATCTCAACTCAGAGCGCTGTCTGCAGCTGGAAAGAGCCCATTCTCTTGCAAGCCAGTTTTGGGAAACCTATGAAGAGTTATCACCATGGCTTCAGGAAACCCTGAAGGCCTTTAACCAGTTGCCTCCGCCCGCCATCGAGTACGAAACACTCAGGCAGCAACAAGAGGAACTCAGGGTAAGAAGAAGCAGGAGGTTCAATCAATGTCTTCATTCAAAAGCTTTTCAAATTATTAAAAGAAAAAATACTTGTGCTTTAAAGCAAATGCGAGAGCTGATTGCCGAGCACAAACCACATATAGACAAGATGAATAAGACGGGACCTCAGTTACTGGAACTCAGTCCAAAGGAAGGGCTGCCCATCAGGGAGAAGTACACAACGTCCGAACAGCTCTACACCAAACTGAAGACAGATGTCAAACAGAGAGCTGCCGAGTTGGATGAGGCCATCTCCAAATCCACTCAGGTGAATGGTGACTTGGTAATGTACTAAATGACTAGTAATGAATGAAATATGCCTAACCTAACCGTCAGGAGAAAAGATGCAATTTTAAGAAATACTGGATAGTGTTTTCAGAGCATCGTGTCTGTACAGAGCAATAATCATAATAATTGTAACTACCAGTAACACAGAAATAATTATTCATTCCAATTAATTCTCTAATAAAAGTGAATCATTTTTTTCCCAATACAGTTCTTATTTGCGCACATAGTAGTTACTGTATATACTCTACTTTAGAGGTGCCCAACCTTTTTTGACCAAAGATGTACTTTTCATGCCAACCAATCTTCCGCGATCGACCGCCATCGCACGTGCACACATACACACTACCGGTCGATCGCTTTATGTGTCGTTTCATTGGTTAGTGTACAGCTCAAGATTTTGATATCATACAGTGGAAAGATTGGTACTGTAGTTGCAATAGTGACTGAAATGACCACTTCTGTCATTCCATACAAGTTCCATGATAAAATCGACCCCATGCTGGAATCCCTGGAGCGGATTGCCGAGCGCCTACGTCAGCCTCCCTCCATTTCAGTGGAGGTGGACAAGATCAAGGAGCAGATAACAGAGAACAAATGTGTCAGCGTGGACCTGGAGAAACTGCAGCCTTCCTATGAGACCCTGAAGCAGCGAGGCGAAGAGATGATTGCACGGTCAGAGGATCGAGAATTATCTGCCAAAGGTATCACCGCTGTGTACATCTTGGTATCATTGCACATTGATTTCAAATAATCGTTCAAAGGATCGTACGTCAAATTACATTAGTTTCATGTTTTCAAAAAAAGCTCAGCATAAAGACGAAACAAATATTTCTCCCACAAGCTGTTCAAGACAAACTGGACCATATGGTGTTCCTATGGACCGATATTCAAGTCTTACTGGAGGAGCGAGAGGCCAAGCTGTTGGATGTGATGGACCTCGCTGAAAGGTTCTGGTGCGACCACTGCGCTCTGATCGCCACCATCAAGGACAGCCAAGACCTGCTTAGGGAGCTGGAGGAGCCAGGAGTGGATCCCTCAGTTGTCAAACAGCAGCAGGAGTTTGTTGAGGTCCGCACAGAAAGAGGCGCCGCATAAATCAGACAGGCAGTGTTGGAAGTTTTCACTTTTTATTTTTTTTATCTTTGCAGGGTTTTAAAGAGGAGATCGATGGGCTTCAAGAGGAGCTGGATTCAGTTAGAAATCAGGGCTCTGAGCTCATGACAGCATGTGGAGAACCCGACAAGCCTGTGATAAAGAAAAGCATTGACGAGGTGTTCATTCTTTCTTAACGAATTATTTACTCTTTCAATTATTGAGGGTCTGCTTTCAGTCTGCTTCGTCTCACTCGTGTGATGTCGCTCCACCAGGTGAACTCGGCATGGGAAAACCTCAACAAGACTTGGAAAGATCGAGTCGAGAGGCTGGAGGAGGCCATGCAGGGCGCGGTGCAATTTCAGGATGGCCTGCAGGTACATTGATCACAGCTGATTTTCTTTGGACGCATAAACTGAAAACAAATATTCTGTTTGTTCACCATCTGGGCTTATTGTATTTACTTGTGCATTTGTTTTGTGTATGCAAAAGGCAGACCACATATTGTGGAACCTGTTATTATTATGTGATATGATTATTACATTATTTAAGATGTCGACTTCAGACAAACGTATATTCTTTGCAGACGACTTGGCAAATTTATGACACTATTTTTTTCAAAAGGCAGATGAAACTATTGTGGTACTTTTGATCTTCTTTCATATCGGAATTTATGGAAAAAGAAAAAGATTCCAACACGGACACATTGTGGTTATCTATGGCCATGCATTTCGAGTCAGAGAAGATTAAAGAGTGTCGTAAATGTCAAACTTTAAATTATGCAATATTTTTTTTGTCCTGTGGTGATAAGAGTACTTTGCAACTCACATTACTCCAGACTGTTTTCAAGGCCTTTTGGTTTAAAACCATAATACAAAGATTCCACTGTCATCCATTGCAGTCAGCTACAATGACAGAACAGTTTTATGAGCATTCAATTAATTGCGACACCACCCACGCTGCTTTACGATATTTGGATCAAACTGAAACCCACATGAATTGTTCCTCCACGCAGCTGCTCATTGTAGAAGCACCTTTTACATGATATGTGACTTGTTTTTCTTCTTCTTTTGGGTATTTTTACTCATTTCAATGTGGATTTACTTCACAACACTCTGGGGTATAGGTGTTGTATGCAAAAGTGGAAATGTGCACAATACTTTGTCTTCCCGTAATGTGTTCCTTTGCCTCTCACGCAGGGTATGTTTGATTGGGTGGATATCTTGGAGGGCAAATTGGACTCCATGTCCCCTGTGGGTACAGACCTTGAAACTGTCAAGCAGCAGATTGCTGAGCTCAAGGTATAGTCCTTAAATGTACAGTGGTACCTCTACTTACGAAAGTCTCTTCATACAAAATTTTCTAGTTAAGAAACGTCTCAACAGGAAAATATTGCCTCTTGTTACGAAAGAATTGTCAAGATACGATGGACTAAAGAGGGCAAAAAACGATGAGGACGCAGTTAAAAGTTAAATGACCATCATTTTTATTCTTTATTCTTTGTTTTTTACATCATGCACAACTCTCATGTACAGCATTGTGCAATAATCTAATTGTAACGTATTCATTACATATTTTGATGCATTTTTATCCTATAGGAAACATTTATGTCAGAATTTTGGCGGGGCTTGGAACGAATTAGGGCATTTACATGAAAAAAACGCATCTCTACTTACAAAATGTTTTAGTTAGGAAATTTCTTCGACAACCAATTAATTTCGTAAGTAGAGTATTACTGTCCATTCATATTAAGTCACTAAAAGAGAACAGCAAGTGCGCTGACTGTATACTTTTATATGTGTATTTACAACGTGACTTTTTAGGAGTTCAAAGTCGAGGCATACCAGCTGCAGATCGAGATGGAGCGCTTGAACCACCAAGCGGGGCTCCTGCTCAAGAAGGTAACAGAGGAGTCTGACCGCTGCACCATCCAGGAGCCTATGTACGAGCTAAAGATGCTGTGGGGAAACCTGGATGAGAAGATCATCAGCCGGCAGGTGCCCAAAAATAAAAGAATGGTCGATATCTTAGTAGTGGTTTTATTCACTGCACCATCTAAATGTGTTTTCTGTCCTTACTTTAGCACAAACTTGAGGGAGGCCTTCTGGCACTGGGACAGTTCCAGCATGCACTGGACGAGCTGCTGGCCTGGATGAACCACACCGAGGAGCTGCTCAATGAGCAGAGAAAGGCAGGAGGAGACCCCAAGGCCATTGAGATTGAGCTGGCCAAGCATCATGTAAATGTTCTTACTTTTGATCTCATTGTTGAGCATACATACAGTAAATATTGGTGATATTTACGCTGCCAACTGAAAAAAAATATCTTTTCAAACTGTATGAGGGATGAATTTATCTTTACTGCAGTTACTGTTGTTAATTTCCTCATCGTTATTCTCTCCTTAGGTCCTCCAAATTGACGTACTGGCTCACAAGTCAACAGTTGAAACGGTGAACAAAGCGGGGAATGAGCTAGTGCAATCCAGTGCCGGAGAGGAAGCCTCTTGCCTGAGGAGCAAACTGGAGGACCTTGACCAGCGCTGGAAGGCCATCCTGGAGAAGACGGAGCAGAGGAAGCAGCAGTTGGAAAGCGCTCTGCTTCAGGTATATAAAGACGCGACAAGATACGTTTCTTTGACATTTCTTTCGATTCTCCGTTCACTTCCCGTTAAGTTATATGAAGAACATTAAAATCAGATGGGAGGATTTTGGGGGGTAAAGATTTCCGAAGAACAAAATAACAGTCAAGTTTAGTGCCTTCAAACAATGTTAAAACACCAATCCCTTTTCCTTAATGGCGAGAAAGTCTCAGATCTCAGAACTGATAAGAGCTCATTCATCTTGTGCCAACAACACACTTTGGTCTTTTAGTTGTGTACAAAAAAAAAATCTTCTCATGCATCGGTAGAATCTGTACAATTTTGCATTTGTTTGTTTGCAAAATAGATTTCTGCGTGTTAACATATGTGCAACAGAATGTCTGTCAAACACCGTTTTTGGTCTCAAAACGAATGAATGAATCCAAGAAATGAGAACCTCTCCCATCGGAGCTTCCGCACAATGAGTATGTGTGACACCTTTTGTATGACTCAGCTTGTATTGTGTTGTAGGCCCAGGGTTTCCATGGTGAGGTGGAAGATATGCTGCAATGGCTGAAAGACACCGAACGTCAGCTGCTGGCATCAAAGGCTGTGGGAGGCTTACCAGACACAGCCCGCGAGCAGCTTAACGCCCATCTGGTACGTGTTTAACAATGCCGGAGCGAGCATGCAGATGGCCGCTCCGCGAGGAGACGGGCGGTCTCCTCTGTGTTGAGCTCAAGTGTGAAAATTAAATGACACTGTTGGTTTTTCCATTGCAGAAGATGACCAAAAGACTTTGATGTTTTAGACCATTTCAGCATTATATGACTTCCATGTCTCCAGGAATGTTTCCTTTCCCTTTTTATTCCTCCTTTTATGGTACTTTCACTACACATTTTCTTTTAAGGAGCACCACTTGGAACGTTTTGGGAGGCAACATTTCTGGAGATTACTTGTTAAAGTACAAACATGATTCCCTTTAACTGTTGGTGGGAACTCGATAACTTTTGGCAGTTTTTGCGTTGCACTGTTGACCTTGAATATGTTATCTCCCCAAATGACTGTTGCGTCATGTCACCACGCAGGAGTTGTGTTCTGCCTTTGGTGTGAAGGAGGAGCTGTACCGGGAGCTGATGGCCAAAGGTCAACAGCTGCTCGCGATGACACCCGAGGGTAACACGGAGCAAGACCTCGCCAACCTAAAAGACAAATGGGAATCAGCACAGGCTAAAGTTGCTGAGAGGAAGGTAGGGATCCCTCGCTGTGATGTTGTTTTCAATTAGAGATGAATTGGATGATGGTTTCGAAATTAAAATTTTAATGCATAGTGAGTACATACATTAAAAAAAAACATTTGAAAGGTACAGTGGTGCACAATCAGCCATTTCCAATTCCTATAATTATATTTATTATGAAGCTTTGTCCTGCAATTGCCGGGGGATGAGTACCGGGTGTACTTCTGACCTACCCAAAGTCAGCTAGGATAGGCTCCAGCACACCTGCAACACGAATGAAAACAATGGATGGAGGCATGGGTTATAAAAGCGCTCATCATGTTCTTACTTGTTTTGCCTCAATAAATAAACACCATCATTTTAAAAAGCCGAAGTGACTCTCTCACTACAAATATGGCCTGGCTTCTCACTGAACAGTCGGCTTCCTCTTTACTTTGGTCCCGTTCCCAGAACCACAGTGCCTTCTGCAGCCAAACAAAGTGTTCCAATAATAGAATAAAGAACGGACAACTTTAAATCCACTCGTAGCACTCCGACTGGCGTATGAGGGAGACGCATCATGAAACATCAGCTTTCTAATATCGTTAGGGCAGCCGTGTGACATAAGCATGTGGCCCAACGGATGTTTCTCCCTCATTCGATTAAAAATCCATTTGCTACAATCTGCTTCACCATCGGCCTTTACGGCGATATGAACTTCCTCATGCGGTTAGGGCTCATGTTTGCTGTGAGGGACTTCGTGTTACAGAAACTGTGTGCTTTGTGGTTCATTACTGAACCTTGTTTTAGGCTGCATCTGTGTTTCATAAAGCTATCGCTAGAAAGGATGGATCACTGTGGAGATGGATGACTGTGTTTGATGTCCTCAGGTGAAACTGGAGGAGGCCTTGACGCTGGCCACGGATTTCCACAACTCTCTGCAGGACTTCATCAACTGGCTGACCCAAGCAGAGCAGATGTTGAACATGGTGTCTCCCGCCTCTCTGATTCTGGAAACGATCCAGTTTCAAATTGATGAGCATAAGGTAATGCTTGCACAGACAGGACGGTTACACAACATCCAATTCAAGTCCATGTTATTATTGTTCATTTGGAACTTAAAGACAATGGCATTTCTTGCACAGATTGTTTGTCCGTGAACACCAATGAAGTCATGTCTGTCAACTCCTGTGCAGATGTTCGTGACAGAGGTCAACTCTCACAGAGATGACATCATCGAACTGGACAAATCAGGCACGCATCTGAAGTACTTCAGCCAGAAGCAGGACGTGGTTCTCATTAAGAACCTGCTCCTCAGTGTGCAAGGTCGTTGGGAGAAGCTGGTGCAGCGATCTGTGGAACGTGGTCGTGTTTTGGACGATGCCAGGAAAAGAGCGAAACAGGTATTCATGGGCATCCAAGCCACATGTATGGTCCTATTCTAACGCTATGTCATTAATGTGAACTAAACAAATAGTTTGGCGAGACTGAACAAGCTGGTGCAGCGATCTGTGGAACGTGGTCGTGTTTTGGACGATGCCAGGAAAAGAGCGAAACAGGTATTCATGGCATCCAAGCCACATGTATGGTCCTATTCTACAGCAATGTCATGAATGTGAACTAAACAAATAATCTCCCTGAGTTTGGCGAGACTGAATGTTGAACTGCATTCATCTCATTCTTCTTCAGTTCCATGAAAACTGGAGTAAACTGATGGAGTGGTTGGATGAATCTGAGAAGACGCTGGACTCGGAGGTGGAAATCGCCAATGAGCCAGACAAACTCAAGAAGCAGTTGTCGCAACACAAGGTGAGCGGTGACGCTGCGTCTGAGCATCCGTACTCAAGGCTGTTGAAAGTGCAACTTGAAAGTGCTTCAATTTGACCTTGGAAAACGTGTAGCTACCTCGTTGAATGAACAGTCACGTGGATAAGAGAGTGAGTATATTTAGACATCCGAACAATGACACAGATGTTTAACAGGCCGCCGTTATGTGCCTTCACTCGGAGACAACGAGGGGTGGGAACGTTCTCGGTAAAACCTATTCAGATGAATTACCGTATAGTGCATACATTAGTCATGCTTCTGATTCTCTCGCAGGCTCCATAATCCCTACTCTGCAGTGGTGCACGGGCAGATTGTGTTAATCCTGTCATAATACTGGGATAGAGCAAATGTATTTGGGGTGGCCGTGCTTTGGGATACTTTTAATCCCTTCGGAGCTGTGGTTCTTGAGCTTTGACCCATTTTTGGTTTCCCATACGGAATGCCATGTTCCTTATCAGAATACATACACATACACACAGATTAAGCCACTATCTGAGATGCACTCAGCGGGAAGATTAAGAAGGCTCGTGTAAAAACCGTGCCAAGCAAATTGAAGCGAGTGACTCTCTGTGGCAACCGGTGATAAGACACAGCGACAACTGTTATCCAATGCATGCAAATACAAAGTTAGGCAGCAGGCTAGGTACCATTGCAATACAATTCCCGCGAGTTTTGTATGATATCAGTATGGATTTCTTTCAAACAGGAGTTCCAGAAGGCCTTGGGCAGTAAGCATTCGGTGTATGATACCACCTCACGAACGGGAAGAGCCCTCAAGGACAAGACCTCACTTCAGGACGATAATCAGAAACTGGACGACATGCTGAGTGAACTGAGGGACAAATGGGACACTGTTTGTGGAAAGTCCATAGAGAGGTAAAGTCACACGCAGGTCAGGTTTCATTTAGATTTTGGACATCTCAAAATGGCTTAAAAATGGTATCTACTAATTGATGAATTGTATAATTGTGTTTTCTTATAACTGTTGTCTTGTAATACGTGGGGAAAAAAAACAGATGCCCGATATGACAACAAATAGTAGTTGACTATACCTATGCATTTCTAGTTAATCCACTTTTCAGTTTAGGGTCAGATTGCTTGCTGAGCTTGGTCAGTTGTTGATAATACGTGCATGTTTCTGCAGGCAAAACAAGCTGGAGGAGGCACTGCTGTTCTCCGGCCAGTTCAAAGACGCTCTGCAGGCTCTCATTGACTGGCTGTACAGGGTGGAGCCTCAGATGGCTGAGGACCAGCCAGTTCATGGAGACATCGACCTGATTTTGAACCTGATAGACAACCACAAGGTCCAAACTTCTCTCTTATCTGCAGCTTCCAAAACAAACTCACATTTAATGGATATTTTCTTGTATAACAACAGAAAAAAAAGACGCTTCAAACATATCGTAGACTAGAGAATAAACAGGCTAGGTATCGTATTACCACACTATTGAAATTGAAGCGGTGTGACTTCAGCCATTTTGTGTGACAAATACACACCTAAATATGTCTGTGGCACTATGTCAATAAGAATAAGCCCAACAAATGGCTCTTTGTTGCACTGGCTCGGATTCTCTCAAAAGAACAATCGAATGTGTGCGTAAAGGTCCTCATATTACAGGAAAGACAAATATGTTACAAAAAACACGTTTGAAAATTAAAAGTCTCATGAACACACTCAGGTTTAACCCTAACTACTCTTCCTATGACTATGAGAAAACAACGATTCTCAAAGTTTGGTGTCAGTACCACGAGTGGTACTCGAGCTCAATTCAGTGGTATTTAAGACAATCACTGCTCGAGTGTAGTTCACTTCTGTTGAACTTTTTAGTACAATTTTCCTAAATTTAGGTACAGTGTTAATGTGCATAGTGTTACAGTGACTTGCAATAATGTTATTTTCATAAACACTTATACGCCTAATATGCTACGCTAATATTGGTCATTATGGTGATACTTGGAGTGCTCAGTATTTTTTTAGGCGGTATTTGGTGTAAAGGTTTGAGAATGACTGTGATCAAGCTGTGTTTCGGTTAACACCTGAAGAGGCTAATATTTTTAACACCTCAGTTTGAGGTGATGCATTTCTACACTACTGCTAACCACAACCACAATAATAAAGACTAGCTACCTTGTCGCGTCCGTTCCTGCATGTTTGAGATCATGCACGTGTTTCTGTTTGACCACATCTTTCACTTGGAACACGCTGCAGGTTTTCCAGAAGGAGCTTGGAAAGAGGACGGTCAGCGTCCAGGCCCTCAAACGCTCGGCCAGAGAGCTGATTGACAGCAGTCACGATGACTCCTCCTGGGTCAAAGTTCAGATGCAGGAGCTGAGCACTCGCTGGGAGACCGTATGCAACCTCTCGGTGTCCAAGCAGGCGCGTCTGGAGCAGGCCTTGTGCCAGGCTGAGGAGTTTCACTCCACCGTTCACATCCTGCTGGACTGGCTGGCCGAGGCCGAGCAGAGTTTGCGTTTCCACGGCAGCCTACCTGATGATGAAGAGGCTCTACGTGCACTTATTGACCAGCACAAGGCAAGCAGATGTTTTCCATGTAATACTTACAGTGTTGTGCATTTTAGAAATGATCATGTTTGTGGTATGAACACATTATGGTCTCGTTACAAATCTTAATGTGTTTCTGTTGTCTTTCAAAGGAGTTCATGAAGAAACTGGAAGAAAAGCGTGTTGCTCTCAATAAAGCCATTAGTCTGGGCGAGGCTATTCTGAGTATCTGTCATCCCGACTCCATTACAACCATCAAACACTGGAACACGATCATTAAAGCCCGGTTTGAAGAGGTGAATGTCTTAAAGATGTGAGGACTTTTTGATGGTCGTTGTCGCACAAAGAGTTCTTGGTCATCGTGTTTCTCTTGTAGGTGCAAGCCTGGGCCAGGCAGCACCAGCAGCGACTGGCCGCAGCCCTCAGCGAGTTCTTAGCCACTCAGGAACTGCTGGAAAACCTTCTGACTTGGCTGCAATGGGCCGAGTCGAACCTGAGCGACAAAGACAAAGAAGTCCTACCACAGGAGATCCAGGAGGTCAAAAGTCTCATAGCAGAACACCAGGTCAGGGAATCTTTTTCATTTAGGTTTGTTTTTCATTGATATAAAGATCAAGCCAGTGTGGTTATAAAGAGGAAATCTTAGAGGGCCCCTCAGTGAGACTGAACTCAGAAATAATTGAGTGCCTTATTTTTGGGTCGATACAGTGATGAGTGGTTAGCACATGTGCCTCGCGGTTCTCAAGTTTGGGGGCTTTGAATCCGGGATGAGCCGTATTTTAAAAAATGGTTGGCTGGATGGGGGAATTTTTATTTGGTTTCATATCAGGCGTTTAAAGTTCACAAATTTCCATGAATAACGGTTCAGATTTTGTTCGTATCCTTTTAACGAGCCGGTGTCGATACCCACACTTCGCACTCGATCAGTAGAAATTCCCACTGTCTCGTCTTGCAGGCTTTTATGGAGGAAATGACCAGGAAGCAACCAGATGTTGACAAAATCACAAAGACACACAAAAGGAAGGCTGCTCTGGAGCCTCAGATCCACTCCCAGATCCCTGTGCTGGACAAAGGAAGAGCTGGAAGTATGTATCCCACAACACAGCCTTCCAAAGCACAACTTGGCGCCATCTGGGAGGTGATGAGTCACCGCACAGTGACTCAACATCCTCATTGTGTTTACTTTGGCACCTGGAGTGATGTCATCACCGACTTATCACATGGCGCCAAAACACTTTCGATCCACTTTTGAAGGGTTTTTGTCTTTCGCTTCCAGGAAAACGTTCTCCCACTCAAACCATGTATGCGTCAGCGACACAAGCACCCATCGAAACCAAGAACCCGCGGGTCAACCAGCTGGTCAGTAAGTGGCAGCACGTGTGGCTGCTGGCTCTGGACAGGAGAAGGAAACTCAATGATGCTTTGGACAGATTGGAGGAGGTAACGCCTGTTCGCTGTTATGTTTTGGGGTGGCTTGGATCAGATGCCTGAGTGGAAGAAGGAGAAAGATTTGATTGAAATGTGTCATATACTGTGTAGGCCGTCACGTAAATCATCACGTAGAATTGCTCTTTCTCTCCAGTTGAAAGAGTTTGCCAACTTTGACTTTGACGTTTGGCGGAAGCGCTACATGCGCTGGATGAACCACAAAAAGTCTCGCGTCATGGACTTCTTCCGGCGCATTGACAAAGATCAGGATGGCAAAGTCACAAGGCAGGAGTTCATCGAGGGCATCCTGTCCTCCAGTAAGTGGATGCACTGACCATCTTTGCCTGTGTTCGGAATTACGTGTTCCAGAGTTGTGCTGAAAAAAAATGTCTCTTAGTGTAAATTGACCAGCACATTGATTTGTGCATCTGATTAGTGTTGAAAACTAATTTTCATTTGACTGACGACGAACTATATTGTCCACGATATAAAAACCCGTCTTTTGATTACACACTAGGGAATGATCTTTACATTAGCCATTTACATGAAAAAATAAATATAAAAACTTGACATGCTCAGCGTAAATATGTTGTTTGTCTAAATCACCAAAGTTACATTTTTTTCGACAGTTTTTGTGTGTGTGTGTGTGTGTGTGTTTTCCAAAAGTGCTATCAATAAAAAGTTGGTATTATTATCATTCTTACCATCGAGCAGAATTGCTTTATTCACATATTTGGTGATGTACCCCTCAGAATTCCCCACAAGTCGACTGGAGATGAGCGCTGTGGCAGACATATTTGACCGGGACGGTGACGGCTACATCGATTACTACGAGTTTGTTGCTGCTCTTCATCCCAACAAGGACGCCTACAAACCTCTGACAGATGCCGACAAGATCGAAGATGAGGTAACGACAACTTGTCGACTGAATTTAAATCTATACAATTTTATATATGTAAAGCCGCGCATGAGTTAATGAGTTTTTATTTTCTTTTATAGGTGACACGTCAAGTGGCCAAATGCAAATGTCCAAAACGGTTTCAAGTGGAGCAAATTGGTGCCAACAAGTACAGGGTAAGCAGAATGCAAGCTACAGCTGAAGAAACATACTGATCATTTTAGAATATATCGATGGTACATTGGAAATTTCTGAAGTTAGGGTTGTGAACCCAAAATGTAATGTTTAATACTAACCAGGATTTTTTTTTGTTCTTATTGTTCTTCACGTCACCAGTTTTACCTTGGAAACCAGGTATATAGTGATGTTATTTTCTTTCTCTGTGCTTATGTGCCTTGAAGAAATGGCCTTTTCATGCCGCCATTTTTGCTTTCCAATTAACACTCTGCCCAGTCCCCTGGCTGCTGGTTGCAAACTGGAACTCAGAAGTCGGAAAAAAAATGTTGTGGTCATCGTATTCACGTTACACAAGCTAGACGTCATGGAGGTTTCTCTTGCTCAAAATCATTAGTAAATTGAATTAATTGATTTTGTTGTTTCTCATGAACGACAATAATGTTGCAAGGTGAAATTGACCCGCGTCGTGTTGAATTATTAAAAATGTGTCCGAAACTAAAGGCATCCCAACAAGCATTATTTATGTGTCTATATAACTGAATTTGCAATTATGTCACGTAAACGTTACCTTGTGCGTTATATAAGTTGTTTACATTTCTTGCCAAAACAGTAACTCTTAATTCGCTTAAATGGGTCAATATGACCCGGAACGTAACAGAAAGGGTTAATCAGTGATTGTCGCATGGGCCTACTTACTTTTCTTTCCAGAAAAACATTCAGATAGACCACTTTTGAGTTTCAGTTGCTCGTGCTAAATACCATTTCAGGCCACATTTCCAACAATTATTCATCTGCTGGTCACTGAGGAGTACTAAAATGTGTGTGCTTGCTATGGGCGCTTCAGTTTCATGGGAATGTCTTACCTCAACATTGGCTGATGCTTTTTTAACTTGATGTTCTTTTTTTTTTTTCTTTCTTAATTTGGTCGTTTTTTTTGAAAGAAAAAAAACACAAACTCATCATTTGGTCGTTTTTTTTGAAAAAAAAAAAAAAAAACACAAACACAAATCTAAATGTAAGATTCATGACAGCTATGGGTCACATTGTTTTGGGTTGTTGATGGGAGGTGTAATTCACATGGGTAGTGGAGTAGTGTTGTTATGTGTTCATGTCTCACCAAACAATGAATTGAATTAATTTTTTTTGACAGTTTGGTCTGGTTCACTGCTTACATGACTCCGTAGTCGGCGATGAGACAATAGCAAACAGGGAAAATCAAAATCTAACCCCTCACCTGCACGTTGCAGTTTTGGAAAGCTGTATCCTGGTAAATGGTTATTCTTCAAGTGTTTCTTGTGCCTTTTTTTTTCTCCTCCAGATTCATGACTCAAACTCCATCACCTTTAATGTATCTGATCACTAAAATCACCAGTGACGTCGAATCATTCCGAGAATCATACCGATTGCAAGATTCTTTTCATAATGAGATACGATATGCTAGTGTCAGGCACACTCGGTGCAGGGTCATCAGTGTTTGCTCATGTTTGAGTGTCCCACTGTGATGGATTTAGACATTGCGAGCTAGTTTGAACCATTCCTCATGTGTGTTGTTTGGCGCTAGCTGCCTTGGTTCTGCATCACCGTCAATGCATCTTCGACTGTACTAATGGAGGCGTGCAACTAGTGTGCTGGAGTCGCAGGAGTTTGTTGTCTGTGCGTCCATCTGATCCCAATCTGGACAGAAAGCATGCGGCCGTGGTCGTCTTGTGTCAATCATGTGTTGAACGCTCAAGGTCACATCCAAGTGCATGCATTGCTCCTTGGGTCCACCATGAGCACATCTGGCTCGGTGATATATTCTTATGATTGCAAATTCTGCGCTAAGGGCTTGTGGTAGCTGTAGGCCAATTCTAGCACAACAGCGCTACCATGTGGCTTAATCTGGTGTGATCCCCCATTTACTTAACAGAGAGCAATGTGAGGCAGTAAGCATAAATCCTAATCTTAAATGTGACATGCAGTCCAAATATGGGTGGTATGATGATGAAATATAATGTGCCATCAGCAATACTGGCCTTGGACTGACCTTGAGCAGTTTGTCCTTGAGAGTAACAAATTGTTGGTGTGTCAAAGTTTTGTTGGTGGAAAATCTTTGCAACACACAAAGGAAACGAGCTCTGATTCAAATCAATTATCCATTCCAGAATTTTGCATGTATGTGGCTCTTCACCGCAAAAAAAACTCTATGTCACACTCAGTCTGGTTTCCAGTGTTGCTCAGATTGACAGTTGTAGTGTTGAAGTGTTCCTGGTTCACATTTGCCCTCTTTGTTTTCTTTTTCTTTTTAAATTCCTCCCCTCACTACGTCCTCTCGCTGTAGTTTGGAGATTCCCAGCAGCTGCGTCTGGTGCGCATCCTGCGCAGCACCGTCATGGTGCGAGTGGGTGGGGGCTGGATGGCGCTGGATGAGTTCCTGGTGAAGAACGACCCCTGTCGAGGTGAGCTACAAAGCACAATCTTCTTCTCTATCGAACCAGTTCAAAGTTTAAAACCACACACTTGAGATCTCCCACACGACGTGCTGAAGGAAAGGAAAGTTCACATTAATTAAATAATAACCAAAAAAAAATCTCTCTCTCTCTCTCTCTCTCTCTCTCTCTCTCTCTCTCTCTCTCTCTCTCTCTCTCTCATTTTTTAAAAATTTTTATTATTATTTTTTTTAAACATTGCATAAAGCTGGCATTTGAACAAGGGTGTATCGACTTTGATAGTAGTTGGTGCTATACTGCGCCAGTTTGACCCATCGTGCAAATTTCCCCAATGTGGGACAAATAAAGGTTATCTTATCTTATCTTATCTTATCTGTGAATTATCGTTTGCGCCAGAAAAAAGATCATTGTTCACAATTTTTCTGTCCTCAATGAAATTTGACATATTTTAAGTAGTAGAGGTGTCGGCGAGTACTCCTACCAATCTCGATCTGCAAAAAAAAAAAAAAAAAAAAAAATGGTGTCAAACTTCCCTAATCCAATGTACACATGCGAATGTGTATGCTAACGCCTTCTGTTCTTTTCTTTCTTCTGTCCTCCTACTCAACACCCTTCATCATTTCTTCTAGTTCACCACCACGGGAGCAAAATGTTGCGCTCGGAATCAAACTCGTCGATTACTCAGTCTCCTATAGGTTGGCAAATCTCACACTTTCTCACCCTGCTCCATGAACCCACCAGTGGTATGTCTGTCCGCACATCCCAGTGTGTGCTACTTGTGTTGGGCCCCTGAGTGTGTGCGGGTGTGCTGTATGCACTGCGAAGCTCAGCACTCACTCACCTTGGTGTTGGTGCATGTGGTTGTTTTGTGTGGTCACGTCACCTGCAGGGGCGTCTTTATTTCCTCATGGGCATGCAAGCGGGCGGTCCTCGGCTGAGCTTCTTTTGCAGCTTTCACATTTTACTTCCATCCAACACACAGGAAATGTGTGAAGGATAAATGGCAGTTTGAAGACTGTTTTTCATGAGTGTAAAAAAAAAAAGTGGATAAAAAAAACGACACTTGTCACTCACTTTGTTTGGTTTGGCAAGATGGGTGTCACTGCATGCAACTGACACTCAGGTTTGTTTTAACAATACAGTAATTTTTTGGGGGAGAGAATATTTGTGCAGACATTCACTGGCCACAATAATAGGTACACCACCACAAAGCTGTGTTCAAAATTCTGTTCTGGAATGCTCAATTTTGAAGAACACAGGCATTTAGTTTCCAAGGCTAATTTACTGTCTGTACAGGTGCATCTCAATAAATGAAAAATAATTTAAAATTGAGGAATAGCTGATTTATTATCAGTATTTCGGTTTCCAAAAAATATTTCACCTAAAGATTCAGTGAAATGAGAACATATCTTCAGAAGGCCAAATCCGACCTAATTTCTATTGAAAAATTGTTTTGCTTTCCTGAGATGGTACATTTGGGTTTTTGTTGGCTATAATCGATAAATGGATCGCTGGCGTTGGGCTGGGCCCTCCTATTTGGTCAGCTTCATATTTTTCAAGAAATCTTTACGATTGGTTAGTCCACACGCGCGGGCCTTATTTTTACAAATGATTGAAAAATCCAAAGTGTTTCAAAAGCTAGTGCTTGTGTACCTAATAAACCGTCCTTGTGGTCGTATATGAATGTCTTGCATCAAATGCAAAAGCTTCTCGTGTTGAAATGTCGCAGCACGGTGAAGATGTGCAACATGCGCATGACATGGGTTGGTGTTGGTTTCCATCCGTAAACGTTTATTGTCATCGTCAAATGTTCGCCATGTGAGACCTTCATCATCATCATTATCATCATCATCATCACCACTTCCATTTGAGCACAGAGCCACACACACACATGCTCATTCGGAGTGTCTTCTGTATTTCAGCCAAAGGCCGGACCAACATGGAGCTGCGAGAGAAGTTCATGGTCCCCGAGGGCACCACGCAGGTGATGGCCAGCTTCCGTTACCGGGGCAGACGCTCTCGGCCCTCGTCGAGGGCGGCGTCGCCCAACAGGTCCATGTCAAGCCAAAGTTGCATCATCCCATCCAACCCGGCCGTGAACAGCACTCCCAAGGTGTGTGGGCTGCCAGCTTAGTTGTTAGGTTGCCACTCCATGGTCAACATCATCCATCATTGTTCATTTCAATCACATTTGTTTTGCATTATGATTAGTTTACCCCCCTCGTTGTTTATTTTATTCTTCACAGCCAGCCCATACGGCTTGTAGAATTTGATTTGTCATCCCGTGTTTCTTTGTGCTGTTGATTTGCCCATGTTTCCCAGACGTGCCAACACATAAGCCGCAATTATGATAAGCCATGGCTTACAAACAGCAAACCCTCCACTCCAATTAAATCATCCGACTCCTTCGGGAGCCCAGGTTCATCCTCAGAGGTATTGCCACATACATGACGTGCAGAGCTTCATGATTTCACCCAACTGGAATCTGCTTTGTATTCTAAATACGGTCCCATAATCAAAATAATCCAAACATTCATTAAAAAAACAAACATGCAACCCCCCCCCCCCCCAAAAAAAAAAAAACAAAACCACAGATTCCAGATGGGTCTTGAATTGGGTCTTCAACTACTAACGATTTTATTGCTTCCCGTACAGCATCGTGATTCCCCCTTGTTCACTTGTGCATGAGTGACTTTCTATTTACCTCTTCTGTTTAAACAAACGACACACACTAACAACATGGTTTCTACTCTAATACTTCGATTTTCCCTCAAGGTTCCAACTAATTCATTAATACGGATCGTCGGCAGCGAATCATAATGGCAATAGGAATAATAATCACTGTTAACATTTGTTTTCTTTTGCAGACAACACCAGTTCAGGGCAGTAAGTTGCGTCTTCCAGGCTACTTGTCGGGAAAAGGATTTCAGTCAAGCGATGAGGGAACATTGATCAACGCCGCCGTACTGAAAGCTCGGGGTCAGGTGCTCGGCGGTGAGTAGAATCATTAATTGTAATATTATACTATACACCTGGGAATTTAAAAAAAAAACTTTGTTTGACAACACTGCGTTTGCCCATCTCAATCCAAGGACTACTTAACTGGTTGTGCCCTTGCAGAATCGAGGCGAAGCTCGAGCCGACCTGGAAGCAAAGCGGGAAGCAGAGGCAGCAGTCGTAGAGGCAGCGACGCCTCAGACTTCGACATCTCAGACATCCAGTCGGTGTGCTCGGATGCATCGGAGACGGTCGGGGACGGGGCGCGGACCACCCCGCGTTTGGTGTCTCGCCAACACGGAGGGAAGCCCTCCAAGATCCCCACACCTCAGAGAAGAAGCACTCCCACGAGCAAACTTGCCAAGGGATCCAAGCGATAGAACAAATGAACGCCACAAACACTGGAATTATCGAAGACTGCAAATGTGCTGAGTGTTATTTAAATTGTTGCTGAGTTGTAAAATATTCCTTTTGAGAGGCAAGATGATTGTGTAGTATGCGTGGATGCGATGGTGATGGCCTTGTGTATTTGTTTTTAATGTATTTTAATTTTTTGTGAAATTGTCAAATGCTTTTTTGTTTTGTTTTGTTTTTTCTACTGTATTTTATTTGATGGAGCCTGTCACGGTCTCTTGGAAATAGCGCTCGGGAGAAGTTACTGAATGTCCTTTGGTCACATATGTGCTCTGGACTTTGGAGTAGCTTCACGCCACTGTGTGTGTGCGTGCGTGTGTGTGTGTGCGTGTGTGCGTGTGCGTGTGTGTGTGTGTGTGTGTGTGTGTGTGTGTGTGTGTGTGTGTGTGGCACCGCAAATATGTATTTATTAAAGTGCTAACAATGTACTTTCAAGGGCAATGCAATATAACTATATGGTAAGCACTGCGGAAACCTTTAACAACACTACAAGTAGCAGACACCTTGCAGTCACAAAGTCCTCTGTTTGCAGACGACTTCGCAGCAACATGTGAGCCCCACCGCGTTGACGTTCTGTGTAGGCACGTCGCTTCATTTCAGTTGTTACTATAGCGTTATTACTTTGTAATAAACCGTGCTTGCACAAAGCTAACAGAAACTGACTTAGACCTCCTGAGCATTGTGAGTCCTCCTTCGTGTTCCCTTTAAAGTCTTTTTTTTTAATACTCTCATGTGCAAGAGTGAGGTTCAGGGTGCTTTTGAGCTCAAGTGTTTGAAAGATTGATGCATGTTGCAAATATTTCACTCAGATTCTTACATGATCTAAGAATGCTTTAAACATCTCCCATGTTTTTGTGTCTGAATTCATTAACACTCATTCACTGCCACGCACGGCTGAAGATGTCAAATTTGAATTGAACCGGGAAGGTTGACAATGAGTGAGTGGAAAAATCCAAAGCAGAATGGAACGATTGGCCTCAATCTAACCACGAGAAGACAAAAAGTGTATTTTACCAAACAAACCGAAGGGGCCTAAATATTTGCATTTTCTTTTCATAATTTTTGGGTTCATATTGCTCAGTGTGTGACCGGCTGAGTGGCTATGAAGGCTGAAGTTGTGGTCTCCTCCAGGTGGAATGTTTGCAGAGCATCTTGTGTTTAGCTGTGACATACTACATCTTTTTCCCAGCAAGCCTGCGCGGATGCTGACAAATTGGACCCAGTGAACTCGCAACTAAAGCAGTGATAAAGTTTGTATCTATGGCGGCAAAGGATTAAATAAAACCAAACGACTGTGTGAGTTTTGAAAAGAAGTAAACACAAGACGTCATCTTAAATCATCTTTAGGAGTTGCGCTGATCTTTTCTATCAGATCAATTGTAAAGATTCCAGATTAGTATCGAGCTGCATGAGCGTGCATGCGCCTGTTTGCTTCTAGCGACTGGATGTCTCACTGGCCTATGAGAGACGGCGGATCCCGTCGGTACCAAAGGTGGAGCGGAGCGCAGGGGTCACGCTGGTCTGAGCCCCACAGCTGCCACTTTGAATGGTCCTCCTGTTGAGCTCAAAGTGTGGCCCACGATGGCACTTTAGAGCGGGACATCAGCACACAGCCTGACCTAGAATAGATCCATCCGCGCAAGTCCCAGACATTCTTCACTTGGAGGAATATGTAAGTGATTATCTGAATTCATCTTTGAATTGCTTTTACGATGGTAGCAATTGTTTTCACTGGCAGGTGTTTACAGGTAAATGCAAGTACACCTACACAGACTAATGAAATCCAACACAAGAGCTGTATTTTAGTGTATCGTTACAAAGATGGAAAAAAAAATTTGATACTGTCAGGTTGGTGCGTAACAATCTGTTTCTTATTGTGTTGGGTGTTGGCAGTTGTGAGGAACTGCAGTTTATCATACTGGGAGCTGAAGTGTTATTTTATATCTCTTTTGGATTGCTAATGAAGGTCACCAAAATCTGAGGCATATTTCAGTATGATGCAGAGTAGTTTTAGAACCACCGTGATAAACATTCTCTGGCACCGCCGATCAAAGCTGACCTGATGATGATGATGATGTTTATTATTATTATTATTGCATTATTTTGGGGGTTCTGACTAAATTGTGGCCTGGTGAATGTGTATCAATCTGTTTATATCTATCTGTGGCTTATCCTTTGTGTGAAAAAACGGAATTTTCTGTCTGATCTATTCGTTTTTAAAACTTTTTCCATTATTGCTTCTTAGGCACTTATAGCTGCTTGACTTTTCCAAATCTGAAAATGGCAGCCTACGAAGCCATGCTGGGGTTTGCGTCACTAGTTATCATCCTAGGATGCACACAAGGTCAAACGTTACCAAGTAAGTTTTTCTTTTGTTTTCTTTGACTAGTAAATGTTTACAACTGCATACACTAAAGCACTAACATTCTGGAACTCAGCCTTCAAGCTTATAACACTGCTCTACCAAATAATGGCCACCAGATGACAGTATTTGTCTTTTTATTTTCCGTTTTGTTGCCTAGCGATTGTAACTTAATTGTAATGCTTTTACTCACAAGTCAGAAGGTCAAATAGCAGACAACGTCAAAAGAAAACAAAATGTAATTTCTCACACAACTTAACCACCTTTCACAAAGGCTTAATTAGAAGTGTGCTGACAAAAGAGGAGATGTATGAATGTGACACAGAGCAAATGTGTTCATATCTGCTAACTAGTTGGCATCACCTACCACGTGACCTCCTTTCTTGATGCAAATCTTCACTTGGGGCTCATCTGATGAAGTTTATGTGTGTGTGTGTTGTGAGGTTTCGATCTCCTGGAAGAGTTCCGTGTGTCCGAGTTGAGAGGAGTGAAGAGAGTAGAAGGCTCGGAACCAGAGGTGGTGGCTTACCGCGTGAACCCCACCATCCATCTGCAGAAGACCATGAGGTACGCTTGATTATGCAGGTAGAATCATGCAACATGTACAATGTACTACGCTATGTGGATTGGGTACATTATCATTAGTTGTAAAATGGCTTGTCAGTGGAACCTTTAACCTTCAAAGGTACTCCTTTTGTATCATCGACACATGACTTTAACAGCTTGAGAACGTACTTGCGTACTGTCTTGGGCAGATGAAAACTGTTATCTTTGAGTCCAACGATTAGCTCCACGGGGATGGCTGACGGATTAGAGTCTGTTGTTCGAAATGATTTGGACATCTACACAGGAGACTTCTTGGAGAGCTTCCTTGTTAGATGGTCCAGGGATGTCTGGAGTTTGTCGAATTTACTCCGTTTCATTTCATCAAGTGGGGTGCACAAAATTAACCCTTGCAGGGACAGCGGTTGCTACAGTGGGCGGCTTATGATGTTATCCGGTTCAAGGGTGCATGGAAGAGTTCATAAAATCATCTGGATCCTGGTACATTTTTTGTGTACAAAAAACATCTACTAAAGTACATCTACTTCAAAAATGTATCTGGATCCTGATGATTTTATCCATTTTTTTTTTAAAGTAGGCTATCCATCCACTTAAAAAATGTATCTGGATCCTGATGATGACATTTTTATGCACCCAATCAAATCAAATTGAGTAAATTCAACTAAAACTATTTTTTTTTCCGAAGGATGTTTACTATGAAGGCTTTCCAAGAGATGACTGTAAACAAGGTTTTAACCTCAAGTGGTTAACCCAGTGTGCCTTCAGAAGCTTTGCTTTCATGCCACATGATGCCACATGCCACAAGCCACATGATAGGAAGAAAAAGTGATGAGTGTGCTTAAGGCTCGCACAAGACGCACTTTAACAAAGTTGAATATCATCAATTCTCAAGGTCGAGAAGGAGGCACTATTCAATTACAGTATACGGTGCCGGCTCTCCCTCCACAGAGACGTGTATCCAGATGGTCTTCCTTCTGACTACTCCGTCATTGCAACCTTTAAGTTGACAAAGGACATGGTTAAGAAATCGTGGAACCTGTGGCAGGTCAGCGCACCGGACGGTCAAGAGCAAGTGGGCCTGCGTTTCCAGGGCGATGCCCTCTCGCTGGATTTCTTCTACATTAGCCCAAGTGGTAACCAGATGCTGAGAACATTCCACGGTGTGGGGAAACTGTTTGATGGCGAGTGGCACAAGTTGGCGCTGAGTGTGAAGGGCAGCAATGTGAAGCTGCTGGTAGATTGCGAGGAGGTCAGCGTGGAGTCCATTGACGAGCCAATGCCGGTCATCCAGCAGGGGTACACCTCCATTGTCAAGCGGGCTGCGAGGGACCGCTCTTTCTCAGTATGTCTGCAGCACGACTGTCCTTTTTTTTAAAATACTTTCACGGGATCTCTGACTTTACAATGAAAGTCTCCATATCCTAACTCACGCCAGGTGGACCTCCAGCAGATGGACGTGTCCTGCGACCCAGAGAAGGCCTATTCCGAAGGCTGCTGTGAGCTTTCCAAGGTAGTGAGTCCACAACCATTCTGCAGCTCATACTACTGGGCTGTTTAATAACAGCATTCTCTCGCTGCCGCAGTGTGGAGGCTATGCAGAGATCGGTCTGACAGCCGGAAGAGCATCTTGCAAATGCATGCATGGACAGCCAGGCATTCAGGGACGACCAGGCCCACAGGTGATTTAACACATGAAACGTGTGACCCCGAGTGAGCTGAAGCAAGTTGACCTTTTATTAATTCTTATGCAGGGCCACAGAGGTCTTCCCGGAAAAGACGGCGATCGAGGAAGACAAGGAAACTGGGTAAATGACTGCAGATCTGCTGCATACTAAAAAGTTAAACTCGTGGCTGTACGTCACGATAAAAATCAGCCGGGAGATGAGATATAAAACTTGGGAAAATAACATGGTAGGATAGAAACAGACCTAGAACCAGAAGCACTATGGGATAATAAATGCGGGGGCTCCTCTCATGGGTAAAACACTTCCCTGCCCTGTAATAGATTTCAGTGGAAGTCAAGATAAAACCGGACATGAGCAGATGCGGTGATGAATTTCTTCTCTCTGATGTGTACAGAAACAAACTGGCAGGTGATCAGAGGATTTCTGAGGTTGTTACCATTGGAGGGCTAAATGGAGTGAACTCAAGTGTGTAGGAGGAAATTGCATGAAAAGTTCAGAACTCAATTGTCGTCATGAAAACATCACGCCACTTGAATGTCGCAATTTAATAGGACGGTATTTCTTCAAAATCACCTATAGTCGATGGAACACTTCATCAGCAAGGTGTCAGGAATGCATCCATTGGCTCCTCTTGTATCTGTCGTCTTGTCTGTTCATTCAATTATGACCCACGCTTAGTCACCAAAGGTGTGGTTGGGAAAACGGAGAGCTTGGCCTTTTAGCTCCGATCTCTTTTCACCACGGCAGTCCAATACCGTCGATCCGAGTACTATCCTCCCGTGTTTTAAAATGTTCTGGGTGGATGTGGATAAATTGATTCCTTGATAAAATATAACGCGACATACTGTTCTCACAGTATGTTGACCGTGTTTGTGGAGTAGACGCTTGTTCTTAAGTATGTCATCAGAGTAGTTTATTCATGGCAAAGCTGACAAACGGGCCACTCAATGGTTCTTAGTCTGACTCAATTCCCTGCTAAATTCTCATGAGAACACACCAAGCCCAGACATGGAAGGCAGTTGGCCAAGCCCCCCTAGAGTCCGTAATGACACCATGTCTGCGTTAGTGGAGTGTGAAGTTTGGCACATTGCGCTTACTTTTTCTCAAGGGAACTGTGCATATTTAAATTCCTGACTTGTTGATGTTGAACATCCTCTGTAAAATTGGAGCAGACCTCCGAAAATGTGTTTTTTTATGAAAAGGGTTACATTTGGATCCGCGCTTCAGCGAA